GAGGGGGAGGGGGAGGGGGAGGAAGAAGAAGAGGAGGAGAGAGAAAAACTGTTTTGCTGAGGGCTTTTATTGCCTTCTGGTTCTGGACTCTCAGTGTTGCATATATGGCGAAATGGTTTTATCAAACCCGGGAGGTAGTGACCTGGTTTCTCTAGGAATTGCCTCACATTCTGGAATGCGATTTTTGTCATCTGGAGCCTTCCCCAAGCCAGAGCTGTCTGAAGTACTAATCTTTTATTAGTTGTTGACCTAATCTAGAAATCCGTTCCCATCGCTCATTCGCCCCTACCCTGTCCCTCATTCTCCTCACCAGTCACTCCACCCCACCCCGCAACCCACCCAGGTTGAAAGTTCAGGATGTGATGTTATCCTGGTCTGCAGATGCCAAGACGTCGCCAGGAGCCACTCTGCGAGGCCACGTGCTTGTCCCCCTGAGGAAGAGGAAGAGGTCCCCGCGCTGGGTTTTGTTCCAATGGTCTGCTCAGCCGGCGATGCCCGCTTCCCCCAAGGCTGCCCCTCATTAGCATGAGCGGGGGTGGGGGTGTGGAGCGGGGCTGGGGGGAGAGAAAGGCAGCCAAAGCCGGGCTCCGTTTTCGAGCCTGGGAGCCCTGTCTATGAAAATGACAGCTAGAGCCTTCTGGCTGCTCTGTTTGATCGTGGCATCCTCCCCCGAAGCCCCGGTGGCGGAGAGAAAAGGTAAGATCGCCGAAATGCAGAGCCCCAGGAGGAGCAGGAACCCGACGGGGAAGTGGGGCGAGGGCGCAGCGAAGCGCAGGACCGGGAAGGGGTCAGAGCCTTCAAGGAGGGAGCCTCCAGGTCTGTGTGCGTGTTCGAGAGGAGCGGGACGGGTCCCCAAGACTTTGTCTCTTGGCAGCCTTTTCCGAAAGAAGCCAGTTCAGCTACTGAAACGATCCCGGGCGAGCCAGGCAGGCTGGAGAAAACTTTGCATGTTAAGTAGCTGCTCCATCCCAGAGGAGGGAAAGTGTCAAAAGGGGTCGCGGCGCGCCTTTCGGGAGCTGTGCCCCGCCCGGGCTCGCGGGACACAGGGGGAGGCGGGGGCCTGGAACGCGGGGTCCTCCCTGCCTGGTCGGGGCCCGCGGGTGGGCAGCCCGCTGGGTGCCCCCGGAGGGCCGGGGCCAGGCCAAGGCGAACGGAGATCCGGCAGCCCCGGGCACTTCTGCCCTGTCCCGTCTCCGCAGCCCCAACAGCCCTGGACACCTGAGCCAAGATCCGTCCTGAAGACCCACACACATTTCATGCCTGAAATGAAATTCCATTACTGAGGGAATGAAGAAATCAGGGGCTCTCTGCATGATCATGTTTTTGTTTTGCTTTTATTTGGATGTTCTGTTCGCTTCACTATCTTTGGGAAAAATAGCTTCCGCACCTCACTGGCCATTTACTTTGGGTTATTTTTCCGCATGGAAATGGAATGACTTCAGTGGCATTTAACCCAAGTATCAGACCATCTTCCCCATGACAACAGATGGTGTTATCAATGGGGAAGCAGTTGCGAGGTCAACAGTTGACAGGCAGGAATTGGATCGCCACCAGCTCTTTCCTCAGCTGTGGGGGGCACACCCGTTTACCATAGTGAGACTCAACGGCTTTGCCAAAACATGAACTCCAACCAGCTATTACTGCTGGGTGGACGCTGATTTTAAAGGAGATTATCAATTTGGCAACAACATAAATAGTTGCCAGAGCTGCAAAGAGGCCGGCCAAGCTCCTTCATGCAAGGGGGTAAAGAAAGACGTTCCCCGAATTCTTGTGCCTGATTGGAGGGCTCTGGGAGTCAGGCAAGTGGAGAGCTTATATTGTGTAACTGGGCATGGAAAGCTGCCCAGTTTCCAAGTTGGCTGAAGTTTGCTCACTAACCTATCTGCAGAGTTGGGAAAAATCATTAATGATTTCGAAAATACGTCTTCATGCCGCATCATTCAGGAGTTTTTCTCCACCATCTGATGGGGGAAAAAATGGAAGTAATGTGTGCTTTTATACTTAACCAGGGCCCTGTGCCTCCTGGGCAAACTTTAAAAAACCCTTTTAAGCTGTGGTTTAGCAGTAAGTGGTGTCCAAGAAGCCAGATAAAAATCCACTCACTAATGCTCGATTCTGCAGACCAAGATGACAGTGTAAACACGGATGGGAAAACCAAATAGTTCTGTTGTCAGGGGCGCTTAAACAATTAGGAGAACCTGTAATATGAGACTTTTCCCCCGGGGCATGCTCTTGGTACTTTCTCAACAAACTGTAAATAGCAAAAAGGCGAATGTTTATATATACACATATATATGTTTATATCTAAGTGTATATATGTATTAAAAGAAGGGCAAGAAGATTGTTATTGAACCAATGTCATCAGAAATTTGAATTCTGGAATAAATAGGGGCTGTAATCTGAAAAGGTAGATTTGAAAAGGTTCCTTAACAAGATAAAATGTTTCTATCAGGCCTGATTCCCCATTTGGTGAGCAGACTTTTCTCAGCTGGTCCCCTTCGGAGGGCAAGACAGTCGTCCCTGGAGGGCGAGGACACGCGCCTCTCCCACACCACAGGGGCGGCCTCCTGGCCTCCCTGCCGCCCCTTTTGCAGGTGTTTGTTAAAACCCCCGGTCCCCATCTCCTGTCCCCTCACAGAGCCCTTTCTTCTTTCCCCCACGGGCCTCCCGTCAAGTCCCGGCCTCCGCCTTCTCTCCGCAGCTCTGCCGCCACACAGCAGAAAGCCCGACGCCCGCGGCGAAGCGAGCGAGGATTCACCCGGGCCCCGGGCGCAGCCGCTCTCCGAGGCCCCGCGACGGCTGCGCGCGGCAGACGTCGCCCTCCGCGCCTGGCCTGACCCGCGGCGCCGGAAGCCCCCGCCGCCCGCCGAGAACCGCGCCGGCTTCCGGGAGGCCGCGCTCGCGCTCGCTGGGGCGCTGGGCCCGCGCCTCGCTCAGGCCGAGAATCGCGCGTCGCCGCGGCGCGAGCCCGCGCCTGAGGACTCCCCGCGGCGCGCGCGCGCCCGGGTCCTGCGTTTCCCGGCCGCGCGGCCCCCCGCGCGCGTCACCGAGGCTCCCTCGAGCCCCGCGCACCCCAACCGGCCGCGCGCCGCCGCCCTGCCTCCTGAGTCGGCGCCCGGGCCGCCGCCGAGCGAAGCCGACCCCGGCGCCGAGCCCTGCGCGTGCGCCAGCTGGGCTGACCTGGAAGAGCGCGACTCGTGGTGCGAGAGTGAATTCGGTGAGTCCGTGCCGGGCCCGAGGCGAGCCTGTCCGAGCCCCGGAGAAACCCGTCCGCTGGATGTGAGGGGCCCCGGGCCTTTGGGGTGCTCTGTGATTTGCTCAGTCCACGGGAGAGTGAGAGAGGAAGTCAGTGTGATGCTCTTCTCCAAACCTGTGTTTTGAAAGCAGCCGTGAACGGAATCGTGCACGACGTGGACGTGCTTGGCGCCGGGATACGGCTGGTGACCCTGCTGGTGGACCGCTCCGGGCTGTATAAGATGAGTCGTCTCTACATCACTCCGGACGGGTTCTTCTTCCGAGTCTACATACTAGCCCTGGACTCCTCCAGCTGCAATAAGCCCTGTCCAGAATTTAAACCCGGTAATGAAACTGATCTGAATAACCTCTTCTTGAATTACATCATTATTTATAACCTGGGTGGCAGAGCCCAGCTTCTGTTGATCACCACGGCACCTTTTTGGGGTGTTCTGTACCAAACAGGATTCAGAGCACAGGTATCCCAGCCCCTCTGTGATTGAAGCACTGCCCCCTCCCCAAGGTGAGATTGGCAGGGATTGGCACACAGGCGCTCAGCATGTTAAGTGGAGTGCATGCTCGCACACCCTTGCCAGAGCGATACTTCAGGGATTCTGTACAGAAATCGAGTTGAGAAGCCTTTTTTTTTTTTTTTTGGCGCGTGTGAGAGGTTGTGAATATCTGCTCCCACTCTTCTAGAGATCTGCTCTGTTCCCTTGCGATTAGGACCTATATTTGATAATGCTGGCTATTTACAGGTGGACTTTCTACCTGTTGCCTGTAGGTTGTTTCAGTATGTGTAGCAAGATGAGATTCGAGTTCAGGCATTTCTGAAAGGTCTTACGTATTTAGTGTTTCGTGGCATTTCAATGACACTATTATTTTTGGTTACTTTGTTCAGGCAGCAGGTACATTGTGATGGGCCACATCTACCACAAGAGACGCCAGCTACCCACAGCTCTGCTCCAGGTCCTGAGAGGGCGCCTGCGGCCAGGAGATGGACTGGTCAGGAGCAGCAGCAGCTATGTCAAAAGGTTTAACAGGAAAAGAGACCGGCGGGTTCAAGGTGCAGTTCACACCCAGTGCACTTGAAACATTCCATCCTGGCAGTGGAGGCTCTCGAGACTTGGAATTCAGCAACAAGACCAGAGGGTTTATCTTCATGTAATGGGGTTTTCCTTTAAAACTGGGCCCACAGCTCCTTTATGAACAACGTGTACAATTCCAACTCTAATTTTGAAGTCATCACTTTTTTTTGGTACCGGGATCAAACTCAGGACCTTGTGCTTGTGAGGCAGGGGGCGGAACCAGTGAGCTAAATCCCCGGCCCTACAAGATGCTTCTTAAATGGCATGCTCCTGAGCTCGGTGGCAAAGTTACTCAACTGTAGTGCCAGACAGTGACTCACGAAGCTCAGATACTTGACCTGTCCAGTGAACAGATCACTGCTTCACATTAAATTTTTAAATTATTTTAATTTAATACATTCTTCAGTAGAAATAGTTCACAAATTTTTTTTAATTTATACAACTTTGAAAAGTTTATATCAGGATCAAATTTTATATTTAAACCATCACATTTTAAATTCCATACATAATAAGCACACTAGTCAAAAGATATTTATGTACGAAATGTCATTTAGATCAAACACTAAGGTCAGAGCCCAGGACAAGTATTAAAATTTTACATTTAGAGAACTAAAGGGTTTAAGTCAAACAAAAGATTTTTCAAAGTCAAGTATTCGTGATGTACCAAAATGTAAGATATATTTTAATTCCTTCCTGCTTCTAATAACTTGTGTGTTGACTCAGTTTATTTCAATGCTACATATATTCTGGGTGTATCTGATGTCATTTTTCTATTAAGACCAAGTATCATGTATTTGTAAAGCAGTAAATCTTGCCTTGAAATAAGATCTTCAATGCACCTGTTTTTTTCAGCCTCACTGAACCTAAAGGTTTGAGAAAAAACTTTTCTCAAACATACTCCCAAAATCCTAGTACCAGTATCCATCAGTGACAGCTCACAAGCAAAGTGATTTTCAAATGTTCTTGGTTTGAAAAAGGGTTAATCTCTAGCTCAATTTAAATTATTTCATACTTGAGTTCACAAAGATGTAACAATTTTTCAGGTCAAGTTGTACTTCAGTTAACTTGTTTTTGTTTTAGTATTTTTAGTACTGGGGATCAAACTCAGGACCTTGCTCTTGTGGAGCAGGTGCGGTGCCACTGAGCTAAATCCCCAGCCCTGTACTTCAGTTAATTTGAACTGCCATGAACAGAGACACCAAGAATTTGTGATTACTGCCAAAAGACAGTAAGCAGCCCATTTTAGTGTCAAGGTGAGGTGCTCTGGGAGTTCACAATGTGTCTGTCTTTAGTTACAAATGGAACACAGAGCGTTATGTATCTAAGGACATTAAGGGTAGAACGCAAGAACTGACAGGGAAGCAAGTGACAACAGGATAAGACATAATGTGATACTATTTCCTCTTTTGCCTCAAACATGGGGTGTGGAGGTAAAGTTGAGAAGTGCTGACTATTCTTTGGTAAACCATTACTACAGGACTGAGATAATGTTCCAGAAATGAATTTTGCCTAAATTTATTTTAAAAATTTACCAGTAATCTCAGCTACAAGGGAAGCTGAGGCAGGAGGATTCCAAGTTCAAGGCCAGTCTGGGCAACTTACCAAGATCTCTTTCAAAATAAAAAGGGTTGTGGCCAGGGATTTAGCTCAGTGGTTTTGCTGCCTGCTGCACAAGCGCAAGGACCCGAGTTCGATCCCCAGTACAAAAAACAAAAAAATAAAAAAGGTTATGAATGTAGCTCAGTGGTTGAGTGCCTATCATGCTTGAGGTGCTGGGTCAGACCCCAGCAATGTTAAAAAAATTTTTTTTGGATAATCAACTGTGTTATTACATAAACTACTGGGATTAGAGTATGCAGCTAATAAAGAGCTTAGGAGTTTTCTTTTTTCCTTTTTAAGTATGGTCTTGCTATGTCACCCAACCTGTGCTCACACAAGCCTTCTACCTCAGCCTCCCAGAGTGCTGAGATTAGAGGTGTGCACCACCACATACAGCTAGGGTTGTTTTCTTAGCTGCCTTTTTTTTTTGGTACCCGAGATCGAACTCGGGACCTTGTGCTTGCAAGGCAAGCACCGGAACCACTGAGCTAAATCCCCAGCCCTTTTGTTTTTGTTTTGTTTTTTGGGCTTTTCTGGTACCAGGGATCAAACTCTGGACCTTGCACTTTCGAGGCAGGCGGAGGCACCACTGAGCTAAATCCCCAGCCCTAGAGTTGTTTTCTTTAAGACAAAATTAAGGCACAAACAGAGGCTTATGCTGGATTCCAGCACCCTGGGAGACTGAGGCAGGAGGATCCCTTAAATCGGAGCCAAGCTCGGAAAACTTAGTGACACACTCCTCAAAATTGAAACTAAAAAGGGCTGGGGATGTAACTCAGTGAAGGCCCTGGGTTCAACCCCCATTAACACAGACACACAAAAGTGAGGAGGGTTGGTTTTTAGCTCAGTGGAACCTCGCCTGCCTTGCAACCGCAGTGCCCAACCACAAGGTCCTGAGTTTGATCCCTGGCACAACAGAAAAAAAAAAAGATGCTCTGTTCAGATTTTTACCTTTTTTTTGTTTGTTTTGGTATTGGGGATCAAACTCAGGACCTTGCGCTTGCAAGGCAGGCAGTGGAACCGCTGAGCTAAATCCCTGGCCCTCTGGTCAGATTTTAAAGCATAAGGAATTATAAATGGGTCTAGTTTAAACACTTTCACATAAAGGTTGGACGTAGAATGGTTTGATAATAGTAATACTTATAGGGCTGGGGATTTAGCTCAGTGGTTTCGGTGCCTGCTGCACAGGCACAAGGACCCAAGTTCAATCCCTGGTACCAAAAAAAAAAAAAATAGTACTACTTATAAAAAATTTTGAGACAAAAAATACCAGAGTCCTGATATTTGTGATACTCAGAGGTCAAATGGTGAATACACATCCCACAAATACATGCAGGGCAATTTAAACAACTGCTGGGATAAAAATGAAGACCACCATAAAAATCCAGGTCTGCAAGGCAAGAACAGTAAGGCTCAATCGAGGCAGAGCAGGAGAGGCCTGGAGAAGTGAACAGGAGACAATGGAGAACAGACTGGTAATTTCAGGTTGGGCAAAACAAAGTAAAGGAATGGTTAAGAAACCTCATTTTCTTTTCGTTTTTTTGTGGGACCAGGGATCAAACTCAGGACCTTGTGCTTGTCAGGCAGGCATGGCACTACAGAGCTACATCCCCGGCCCAAGAAACCTCATTTTCAATATTCAGTCAGGACCTTAGATACAATCTTTAATTCTACGGAATAGTTTAATGAGCAAATTCATTATAGTTTTGAATCCTTTTACTGATTTTCCTTAGCACATGGATGTGTGCTTTAAAGATGAGGCCTTTAGTGCTGATATGAACATATAACAATTCCTCAAAATACTTTGTTGCCTTGAAGAGCAATCCACTAGCATCCCACCTTCTCATTAAAGCTGTCCCTGTACTCAGTGATACCATTTGGTACCGTTCATATTTCTCCAGAATCATCTGGAAAGCACATGTATATAAAAACACTTAAACACTGATTTGCCACCTACAGTGCTTAGCCTCAATTTCAGTACATTCTACAACATGTAAAATACAAGTTGGATAAAGAAGGACTTGATCATTTTTAAAACACAGGTTATTTCTTTAGTTGAATTTGGTTCAAAATGGATCAAGTGGTGTGATCTGAGCAATATTTTTTGGTATCTCATTCTAAGTATCTAGAAGTCCATGCTTCAGACTATTTCAGATTATTAAAAGCATGCCTCAGCTAATCCTTTCTGTCAGAAGTGCCCAAAAGCCATTATTTTGCTCATGAGATATTACCATTCTCATTTTAAGGACTAGAAGCCTGAGACTTCTGGGGAAGAGCCTCAATTGCATGAAGACTGAATGCTCTAATGTACAGCTCTATCCAACTTGAGTCCGCAGGTGTGTGGAGATTTTAAAGGGTCCCACGTTGGCTCTGTAATGTCAGAAACACAACAAAGAAGCTAGGAGTTTGCCTAGTAGAAATGAATAGAAATAGGGAAAGAACTTTTATTTGTATATTCTAGAAGGTAGGTTACAAACAAGAGCACATCTCAAGGTCTAGCACTCCAGGCCACTTGTAGTATAAAAAGGTAATTAAATGTTTGCATTAGAAAATATTTCCAAAAGTTACACAATATTTTTAAAAACTTACTGCAGGTTAAATACAAATCCTGCAGAATTTGGCTAGGAAAAAAAGTCTTATCAATATTATGAAAATAGTTTTTATGATTTCAAGGATTGTGAACTTAGCCGATGAAGCATAACAAGCACTGAAAATACTTTTAGCCTAAGAAATCTATTTATGCAAGTTGAGTATATTTACAGGCCCAAAGACTGGAGGAGAAACATCCTGATGGTATCATGAATGTGCATTATACCACTTGGATTACTGAAAGCAAAATAGCTTAATACTTTACTGAATAGAAGCTTGTCAAAGGATACTAATAGAAAAGCAGCTTTTAAAATAAAAATGTTTTTCAAAAATTACTTCTGAAAGACTAAAGCTCTACGGTTGATAAAAACTATAAAATGTTTTTATGTATTTATATGGTGATAAAAATTGCAAAAAGCTTCATACCATTTAAATACACATATGAAATTAACATCTTCCTGGTCTCAGGATTTCCATAAAATTTATCGTTTGTACAATTTGACAATGCCAACAGCTTTAGAAAATAACCAACCAACCATTGTTTCATTAGAAACTGCACCAAATCCAATGTCAAAAACATTATTTTATTTTTCTAGGATGAAATGTCCTATTACGTACAAAAAGAATTTGCCACAATTTGTTAAAAACATAGCAATCTATTGCCTACTGGTAGGAAAGTTCTTGCCGCAACAACTTTTAAATGAGTAAGCCCATATAGATTTATATATATGAGTAAGTCATACAGAAATACTGTGATGTGATGAGATGCAGAATCATTTTATAATCCATTAAAATGTAGAATTTTTGCAGCAGCACAGTGCATACAATATGTAACATTTTTGTAACTAAAGGACAAAATAACCTGTATTTAACTTCCATTTTAATATTTTAAGCAAAAACTTTGTTTCCATATTGAGCAATTAGTCTCTTTAGTTTGTAAGCATAGGTTTAAGTGACATCTTTATGTACAAAAAGGAATGAGCTTCATTACATAAAATTAACCCAGACAGAAGAACCTATACACCTGAGCCTGTAATAAGAAAGAATTGGGAACTGTAGCAACATCTTTCTTTTTAGAAACTAAGGTCTGGGAAAGGTTTTGCATAGCAGGGCAACATTGAACAGAAGGAAACTTTTAAAAACAGTTAACTAGGTGAATTCCAGAACTTGGTAGGTCAAAGCTGATATGAATTAGTGCAAAATCTAGGAAAATTTTTGCAAAGCTGCAAAATCTAAGTGTGGCAGATTTCAGAGAAGCCATTGTTACAATGCAGAAAATACAATGCAGACAGAACACGGAAAGGAAAAACATGCAAAATACACCTTCCTGTGCTGTTTCCACTGTCTCCCCACTTATGCTACTGTTCCTTACATAGGACAAACTAACCCAACCAACAAAAAATTCACAGAGGATGAGATCATTTAAAAAATGCCCTTCATACAATTTCCGTAGCTGTCTGTAACTGTTCATTTGCCTGGAATCACAGAAAAGTACAAGCCAAGGCGATGTGCATTATGCCCTATTACCATCATCATCGGTTTGATCAATCGATCAACTGATCAAGTGATGCAACAGCATTAGCACCCCTGGAGATTTTCTCTGACATGGTAACAATGGACTGGGAATTACACAACAAAGGGCCACTACTGCCCTGGAAAATCTGGGTCTAATCAGATCCTTCTGCCTTTCAGCCCGGGAAACCCCTCCCTTTCCCCACAGAGGCTGACAGATAACCATTAGCGCACAAAGACACCTCCATCTGTGGGAGAAAAATTATCTCCATTTATTTTGTTTCATATACATCCATAGTTGAATTTTAATACAAAAAGAAAAAATTAGAATCTGACAAATGTTTACAAACAAGATTACCTTCAAATAGATTTTGTCATTTTAGCCTGGTGCAGAGGAAAAGACAACTGTACTGATATATTCAAGGCAACAGAGTCTGTACTCTAGGACCACTTAGCCCAACCTTTCTGCAAGCTTAATTTTTGTCTACCATGAACAATAAACTCATTGTTGATTCCCAGTTGTGTGTGTGTGCACATGTGTACATAGCAGCTCCTTTCATAGAAAGAAAAGACATCTAGAGGTCATCTTGTACTTTTACCTACAGGAATCATGATAAGATACAGGATGGATTACATGTAACTGAGGCTGGATTTTATAAGAAAAAATAATTAGCTGACAAATGAGGGCAGCAATAAAAAAGCGTCTTTTTTGCAACAATAAATAAATACAGTCAAAAGTTTTCTGTGAGACTCTAAACCAGCTTCTTCACTGAAGAGCAGACGTGGCATTTCCATGGAGCTACACTTGACCCCATAGTATCTTTTTTTCTTGCTTTCTTTTTTTTTTCAATAAACAAAGTTTTCCCACTTCTGCCACAATAGTAAAACCATTTGATCTTGACAAGATAATGGTGTCGTTGACTTTGCTTTTCCCTTGTCCGTTGGACAAAATTGGCCAAGAATATATTTAGACGGTTATGACCAATAAAAACGAAGTTTAGGTCAAGTCTTGTCAGGATAACCTGACTAAAAACATCTGGCTCCTTAATTTAAAATAGTTCAGACAACCAGATTCTTGCTGTATTTTATGTTAACACGCTGAACTTTAAGAAGCTGTAGACTGCAGTTTGTTGTTATGAGACCTACAGAATACAGAAAAAAGGGAACAATTAAGCACCCTTCATTTTTGAAAACAATGATGCTTTATGTGGATGCCAAGGTCAGCCAGTCTGGGGGAAGCAGCCATATTCTTTCATTCATCCTTGGCAAGCAAATGTAAGAGAACAATTAAATTTTAAGCTTAAACTGTTAAACCTTTTCACTGTACACTAACATGATAGATCACTGGAAAAAAGCCAGTATTTAAAAAAAAATATATATATGTATTTGTCTGATGAAGAGTACAACATTCTTAACCAATGGGACAAATAGAGACATTTAAAAGAAGCATTACCATATTACCATTGAATAAAAGGTATGTGCCTGTTTATTTACATTGATTTGGGAAATATGAAGGGAAAAATTATATTAAAAGAGAAATAATTTTTTTTTTGGTACTGGGGATCGAACTCAGGTCCTTGCGTTTGCGCAGCAGACGGCGAAACCACTAAGCTAAATCCCCAGCCCGAGAAATAGTAATATTTTTAAAAGCACATTTTTCTATTAAAGCCCAAGAAAGTCTTTCTAGTTTCACAGTTTTATTCACAATTTTCATTAGTAAACCAAATTACTGTACAGTTATCAGGACTAAGTCAAAATACTTTATATTGTAGTAGTAGATAAATACAGTATTGCAAGAGTATACAATTTTTAAATACATTGCTCAACATGGCTGCTAGAATAAATTTTCTGCCAATATACATCTTTTTAACATTAAAAATTATATTAACCAATCTTATTTTGGAGGGGCAATTTTTAATTAGGTAACCACGTGGTACAATAAACAGTGACCTCAACATCCAGTTCTGATTCCAGTTAAAAATTCAGACTAAAGATATCACAATCTGTAAAAGAAAGAATATGGATGGTATAAATGATGAATCTTAACAAAGTACAGTAATGAAAATAATGTACAAACAATACTGGAGATCATAAATTAAAAATGAAATATGGCGGAGATAAATAAATCAAGTTTCAGCGACTGGCTATTTAATGTTTCATTCTGCCTTAAACCTGGAAATATCAGATATTCCCTAAAAAGGCAAGAGGGAGTTGCTTTTATATAACTCTCGACACTGCAATTTATTTAAGCACAATTGACTCAACTTCTCTGTTTATCTCCCATGTTCTTGGAATGAAACTCAAGTATATAAGAAGCTACATAAAATAGGTGGTAAGAAGTCCTAAGTGGCTTCTTTGGATGAGGGCATAGCATTGAGAGTGCTCAGCACACAAGAGGCCCTGTGTTCAATCCCCAGCAATGACCCCAGTCCCCAGAGCGTGAAGTGGCCAGTTTACTGCACTCACCCAGCGGCTAGGCCCCCACCTCCCTCCTCAAATTCCTTTGTTTTGCCACAAGCCCTAGGAATGACAGAGGGTTTCCTCTCTTTAATCAGCAGCTGCCACTCACCCTTGGCACAAATCAGAAAGTGCAAAGTGGCTCGCGATGAGAAAGTGTGCGCTTGTGTCTTTTTTCACTCAACCTGAAGTCCAGGAGCCCTGAGATCAAGTAATTTCATTTTCAGTTCTTTGGCTAGATTTCTTACACTGTCGTTTCTTGTTTTATCAATTTTAAGTTGTTAAAATCCTGGTGCGGCAAATGAAAACTGGGCTCATTTGACTATTTTCCCACCTCTCATTTTTGAGTCCAAGTTTTATTTCCTTATAACTTAAAATTATGTTTTTATGCTTTGTCTATAGGTTGATTCTAAAAACTGAAGATCAATGTTATTCTTTGTAACTATGTAAAATTTTTTTCTCCATACCACCTAAGAAGGAATTCATGTATACCTTTTAATTTTTTATGGAGTTTCTGTCTTTTCTGATCCCTTAAATTCTTTGGTTTAATCACTGTCTTATGCTTTTCTATCTTAAACAAATTATCTAATGTATGAATCATCCTGCCTTGGGAGAGCTTCAGGCTCCTATTCCAATTTGGACAACCTGCTGTGTAGGCCTGCTATACAAATGTAACCCCTGGTTAGAGCAATGCTCATTGCTTTTTGCTTCCTGGACCTACGGTCTTATTTCTCTATTTGCTTCCTTATTTTTGCTACAGTACATATCTTAAAGAGAACTTGCCAAGAAAGAATCCCCTTTCCTTACATTCAAAAAACTTAAGTGCCTCTACATTTGTTTGGCTTTACGCAAATAGAAAGCTGAGGAAAATTTTTTTCCTCAAACATTTGGGTTTATTCCTCTATAGTCTTTTTTTTTTTTTTATAATTACGGTTCACTTATTTTTTTGTCTTTTTTCGTGCAGGGGGTCGAACCTGGGACCTTGCGCTTGCGAGGCCGGCGCCGGAACCACTGAGCTAAATGCCTGCGCCCCTCTATAGTCTTTTAACATTCCATATTGTAGTAGAAAAGTCTGGCACCAGTCTAACTCTTAGTATTTTATAAGCTGTTTTGTCCTCTGCAGAAAAGCTTCATTATCCTTGGCATTGTGGAAATTCAACAGTGATGGATATAGGGTGGATGTTTTCCTAGTTGTCCACTTGGTTATCATGCTAATCAACTGTTCTCCTCTACTTCCCACAAGAATGTAAACTCCATACAGGAGAGGGACTTCATTTATTTATTGCTAAATTCCTACTGTCAGCACACAGCAGTTCTCAGTAATTATTTGCTGAATGAATTTGTTCTTTTGGACTTAAAGTATTATAAAGTATTGTGTCTCTCATTAGCTCAGGAAAATTTTCTTATATTATTATTATTTTTTGGTACCAGGGATCAAACTCGGGTCCTTGTGCTTGCTCATCACACTGTGAAATCACTGAGCTAAATCCCCAGCCCCTTATTATTATTTTTTTTAAGACAGGATCTCACTACGTACTCCAGGATAGCCTTGAACTCACTATGTGGCCCAGGCTGGTCTCGAACTCACAGCTAGGTTCCTGCCTTAGCCTCCCAAGTGCTGGGATTACAGGTGTGCACTACCACACCTGGCTTACATTCGTTTTGTGGTAATTTCCTGTCTTCTCCATTCTTTCCATTAAATGAATATAGGACACTAAAACATTTTTTCTTTCATAATTTTCATCTCCTTTTTTGTTCTTTACATTGGGAGAGTTATTTGATTTTAACAACTTTATGGTTTTTCCAATGATTCTTTCTTCTTCTCAGATTACTCTTTATTTCATGATATAGATGCAGTGTCTTCTAAATTTTCTCTCTGCACATGAGTTAAAAGATTTTAGGGAGAATTTGTTTTTTTTAAAAAAATCTATGTTTCTCTGGCATCTATTTTTCTGCTCTACTCTGATGTTACTCTTTCACACTGCAGGCTTTCCTTACAGGTCTGGCTGTGCCTGGGGGTCTGTTAACACTTAAAAAGTCACTCCACTACTACGGGTTCACCTTTTTGATTCCTTTATTAGTTCATTATTTTTAGAGGATTTTATTATGCTAAGTCCCTTTTCATTTTAAGTTTGACACCAAATGAATTAACATATAGGAGTTGCAGACACGGGAAACTTATTAAGAGGTTTGGTAAAGTTCCTCGGTTCTTGGTCATTAGCCTCCCTGCCTACTCTTCTTCCTTCCTTGACTATAGTTTTCTATTCCTTTACTGGCAAGGTAACTTCATATGTCACCTGGGATTGTGTTTCATTTTTATATTATGTAAACCAACTCTAAAATACAGTTCTTGGTAACTATCTTGCTATAGGAGAAAAAGACCAAATACCCCAAATATATTCCTTGGAGGGAGGAAATTTACTAGGTAGAATGTTGACTTCTTTGGCAGCCCAGCACTGGGGATTGTACCCAGGGCCTGCTACAGCCCAGTCAAGAGCTCCACCACTGAGCTACAACCCCAGCTGAGAACATTCATTCTTATACCTGGTATGGAATCCCTTAGGAGCTCACAGATGCCCAGGCCTCAGTCCAAGGTCTACCCAATCTGAATGCCTATGGATAACTGAACTCATGGGTTGGTGGACAGGGTATGGTGAGTAATGAATTTCAAGGTTAAAAAATGGTGGTGATTATCACAGAAAAGGAAACCAGGCTTCTGTGGGAAGAAAATCAAGGGCTTGAGGGGGCTGAGGTTCAGAAATGGAAGGGCACAAAGGTCACAGTAACTACATTCCATGCAAAGTTACTCAATATTTTTATGTCATCAGATGTTCAAGGAAAAGGCCTATGGATTTAAAGTCTAGCTTTGCCAGGCCGGGGATTTAGCTCAGTGGTTTCGCCGCCTGCTGCACAGGTGCAAGGACCCAAGTTTGATGCCCGATACCAAAAAAAACCCAAAAAAACCTCCAAAGAAATAAAGTCTAGCTTTGCCTACAGAACACATACACAGAAAAACAGACACTTTATGATTTCAAAGATAGAGCACACATAAATCAAGGTGCCTAAATCCCCCTCTTTCTGGTCTTCCCCTTTAGATGGTCATTCTACATTTCTCCACTCCCCTACAGGATGTAAACTGAAGGAGAGCAAGAGGTCTCACTGCTTGTATACACCACAGCACTTCCGACAGCACCTGGCCTTTGTGAGCATTCAATAGGTGCTCTCTGAATTTTTTCTGGTAGCAGGGATCAAACTCAGGACCTTGTGCTTTCGAGGCAGGCGGCAGAACCACTGAGCTAAATCCCTGACCTGCTCTCTGCATTTAAAAAAATGATTTTTGGGCCAGGGATTTAGCTCAGTGGTTCCGCTGCCTGCCTTCCAAGTGCAAGGACCCGAGTTCGATCCCTGGTACCAAAAAAAAAAAAGATTTTTGGGGCCGGGGATTTAGCTCAGTGGTTCCGGTGCCTGCCTCGCAAGCACAAGATTCCGAGTTCGATCCCTGGTACCAAAAAAAAAAGAAAAAAGATTTTTAATTCTAAGTAAAAGGCCAGGCAAAAACAGACCCAGTAATTTCTCATTTAGTGAGCCTCTCCACTGGTCCCTGTTAGTATATCATAATACCAGAGTGTTAAATTTATGGTTCAAATTTACCATATGCTGCATTGGCTGATTCCTCAGATAGGACAGTAAAAGTTTAAGAAGCGGAATTAATTCAGAACACTGAACACATCTGCTCACCTGCTAGCCTTGAATCCTTTCAATTTCTGTACAAAGAATGATTCAAGCACTTCTGCACACTGGTAAAAAGGTGAGTCACTTGGATTGTAGTAACGACAGTTATCAAAAATTTTGGTCATATCTGCCACAAATTCTGTCAGCTTTTCATAATATCGTCTTTGTACTCTTTCTTCCATGGTGGCAAGGTCTTAAAAACATAAAATGCAAAACATTTTCAAAGCTTTAATGTTTTCCAGTATAAATACATGCTGCAATTTTGACTATCTAGTATATTTAATTACAGTCCTGGAACCAAGCCCCTTTACTACTGGAGACTATTTTGTACTTCACAAAGAACATACTAGCACTTTTCCAACTTTTTTTTTTTCAGTACCAGGGATTGAACTCAGGACCTTGCACTTTCGAGGCAGGCATGGTGCCACTGAGCTAAATCCCCAGCCCCTTTCAACACTTTTTGATTAGGGTTCTAAAATATAAATCCAGGTTGCTATTAAAAAGATTCTTTTATTTTTAGTTTATTACACAGAACAGGTCTTCATTCAACTGGTTGGAAATAAAGGAAACCATGTAAATGGGATCTAGGCATATCTAATTATGCCACATTTTCACATGTAAACAAGCATAATGTATATACAAAGAGAAGGCGGAATCTAATTTATGAACAAAATTTCTGTACAGTGGTTTTACAACCCTCACAATAGACTTTAATAGAATCATTTTGCTTCTTTATCTATTCCCTACTTCTGGCCCCCTCTCCCAATGGGGTTTGAACCCAGGGAGCACTGAGCTATGTCTCCAGTCCTTTTTATTAATTTTGAGACAGGTTCTCACTAGCTCACCCAGACTAGCCCTGAACTTGCAATCTTCTTGCTTTAGCCTGCTGAGTAGTTGAGATTACAGACATGCACCACCATGCTAGCTCTATACTCAATTTTATTGTTTCTTGATATATGTGACAAGTGATACTAATCACCCATGGTAGAAATGATATAGTCTACTAAAAAAAAGTCAAGGAAAAATATTAAGAAGCTATGAATACAAATACTGGTGGGCTGGGAATTTAGCTCAGTGGTTCTGCTGCCTGTCTCACAAATGCAAGGTCCCGAGTTCAATCCCTGGTACCCAAAAAAACAAAAAACAAATACAAAAAACTGGCAAGTAACAGTACCAATAGGATACAGAAATAGTAAAAATCATTAGGGTGGCAGGCAGGTGTAATATTGTGAAATATATGCAGTCTGTATCCCATTTCCCAACACATAGCTCCCCCCAAGTCCTCTGAGAGGCATCTTCTGCATGCTGATGAGATGCTTGGTGGCTAGGATCCCTAGGTAGTTTCAAGGTGTGGAGGGGCTGGTTACCAGGAAGACCAGGGCATGATTAGAGGGCTAGAACCCTCTAGCTCTCAACCTTTGGGGTGGAGAAAAGGCTGTCCATCACCAATTGCCAGTGATTTAATTACTCATGCCTGATAGTGAAGCTTCAATAAAAACTGGATTCTAAGAGCATCCAGACAGCTGAGCTTGTGGAGTTCTTGCTGGACGCCATGCCCACAGAAGCCATGCAAGCTCTGCAGCCCTTCCCCACATGCTGTCCTAACAATCTTTTCATTTAATCCTTCTCTGTGTCCTCTGAATAGACTTATAACAAACTAGTAACCCTAAGTGTGTCCCTGAGTTCTGAGCCACTGCAGCAAAGGGAACCCAAGGAAGAGGTTTTGAGAATGCTGAGGTAACTGTTTTGTTAACAGGCCAGTGTTACAGTTTTTAATTTCCATTAATTTGGACACTGAAAAGTGTTTCTCTGACTTTGTATATCTTCACTAATTTGAATTTTGTTTTGGTACCAGGGATGGAACTCGGGTCCTTGCGCTTACGCAGCAGGTGTTGAAACCACTGAGCTAAATCCCCAGCGCACTAGTTTGAATTTTTTCAGTGGGAGTTTCCTATTCATGTACTTGGCTCACTTTTGTCTTGGGATACTCATATTACTGTCATTGTTATTTAAGGGCGATTTATGTTCTAACTATAATTTAAAGTTATGTGTGTATGGGGGGTGTTACTGGGGATGCAGCACAGGGGTGCTCTACCACCGAACTGTGTCTCCAGCCCTATTTGTTAAATAAATAAATAAGTTGGCCAGGCCAGGCTTGAACTTGTAATCATTCTGCCTCCGTCTTCCCAGTGTGGGATTACAGGTCTGTGCCACCTTGCCCAGCTAATTTAAGCTTTTACAGTGATTATTTTTGTTATACAGTAGTTAACAGTGGTAAATGTTACACCGTACACCTTGGTGATATCTACATTTGTACATCAAACGTATTACTTTTGAAATACTTTCAAAGATTAAAAAAAACTTCCCTTTAAAAGTGATAAACCCCAGTGTTATTTATTTACTTTTGCAATCCTGGGTCTTGAATCCAGGGCCTCACACTAAGCAAGAACTGTACCACTGGGCTATATACACAGCTCCCTCAGTGTTTTCTGAGTGCAGAAGAAAGGGTACAGATATATATGTACTACTAGCGGAAACTGGATCAGATTACTGAAGTATAATTTGAGAGTTTTTTTTAAAGCCAGAAATTCTAACTCTAGGAATTTTTTCTAAGCAAACAAACAAATGAAGGTAGATGCATGAACCAAAGATGAGCACTGTCATGTTGGCACTACTAGCAAAAACCACACAGAAATTTAAAAACTCTTTAATGGGGATGATTAAATAAAGTGTTCTAATTTTATTCAATTAAAAATGTTGCATAGCATGGTTAAGGCCCGCATTCCATCTGTAGCATACAAAACAAAACATAATATAGGTCTATAACACACCTCTGATATGAAAAAGTACTAAGTCTACCGTACTTATAAAACATGATATTTCAAATAAACTTATTTCCATTTATGAAATAAAAGCTACTGTTGTTCTTGATGGTTCCTTCATACCCCTAAAGAAAACTTCTGTTTTTAATCTATATCATTCCAGACATTTTCTATGCATTTTTTTTTTTTTTTGGTACCAGGGATCGAACTTGGGTCCTTGTGCTTGCGCAGCAGGGGGCAAAACCACTGAGCTAAATCCCCGGTCCCTCTATGCATTTTTAAACACTTTTACGTACCCTAACAAAATAAACAGTTGTCCACTGCTTAATACCTAGGTATTGTTCTGTCAGTTGCATTCTCTCCCATTTGTCTCACAATTCTATATTATCTTTATGTATGTACCTACATAGTACATACATGATGATGTTTACCTTTTTTTTTTTGGTACTGGGGATCAAACTCAGGACCCTGAGCTTGCGAGGCAGGCGTAGCACCACTGAGCTAAATCCCCGGCCCTACCTTGGCTTTAACAAAAGCAGGGAAAAAAAAAAAAGGAAAACAATCTAGTCAATTTTGGGGGCCAGGGATTTAGCTCAGTGGCACTGCACCTGTCTCACAAATGCAAGCTCGTGAGTTCAATCCCCACCCCACCCCCAAAAAAGTGAAGATCTATTCAATAACTAAACCATAAATAGCCACTGAAATCACTTTTTTGAAGATGACTGAAACACAGAAATATTTTCATTTACCAACCCATCTCAATTTTTAATATGCATATGAGAACAGCAAAAATCACAGCTGTCTCCATGGAAGTGGCTTCTTGATTCAGTGAATAAAAGGTTAAAGGTGCCTTTATTTTCTCATTATTTCCTAAATTTTCTACAATTGGATTATTTTTATCAGCACAATTTATTACTTTATTTTAACAAACAATCCCAGGTGCCTTCTAAAGAAGACTGCTAAGGGTCGGGGATTTATCTCAGTGATTTCGCTGCCTGCCTTGCAAGCGCAAGGTCTCGAGTCTGATCCCTGGTACCAAAAAAAAAAAAAGAGAGAGAGAAGAAGAAGATGATGAGGACTACACAAATCTGAAACATGTACAGTTTGTTTAGTCTTGGACATCAGGAGGATGGAGGTCCCATAATGACACTTTGATCAGTGATGGTCCCCATATAGGACAGGGTTCCAGAAGGCTGTCTCAGCTCACACTAGTAAGCTGTGTGCATCTACACTCATGATGCTCATGCAATGAGGACATCGCCTAACAATGCTGTTTCCAAAATGTAGCCTCACTGCCAAGAAACACTGGACTGTGTGATTTTTGGTTTTAACCAAAATCTCATTTATTTCCTCTTCGTGATTCCCCTTTTTAAGTTGCCATCAAACAAAAACCCTTCCCATCTAAAAACTGATAGCTTTTAAATAATTCCTTTTAGAGATATATTATCCTTAAATATAATCACTTAGAGCTGTTCATTTAGAAGTCCAATGCATTATCCATCGCACCATGGAGCCACCTATGTAACTGTTTAATACAATCAGTTCTAGCTGTAATTTTTTTTTTACCAACTTCTTCCTGGGAAATAAGTCTATATTTTCTTGGATCTCTACTGTGGATCCATTAATTTCACTCTCCTTCTGGAAAAGATGAGGAAGAGCTGACTGGGAAGGATGAGAAAGTTGGACAGAACCCAACTTATAGATTTCATGCATGCTTTTATATAGCTGCATAGTACTCCACTCACATCATTTGATGTAGCTACTGTATGGATAGCAATTTATTTCATTTCCAATGTTTTTGCAGTTATACATACTGTTGCAAATAATACGTACTTGTGCACATGTACATCCTAAGAAATTAAACTGCTGGGTTCAAGGGCATGCACATTCAAACGGTGATACTCCCGATTTACCTCTCATTGTGACAATACCAATTTATATTCCTACCAGCTGTGTTCTCGATATCCTCAGGATATATCAATTATATGGATGATAAATTATCTCTTCCTGAGACTGCTGAAAAAACTTCATATTCAACTCCAGTACTTACCCATGGGCTCCTTAATAACACCATAATAATCTGGTGCGTCATTAGGGTCTACTGGCTCAAGGAAAGGCCAGGCCATCTTATGAGCCTATAATAAAAACAAGTACCATTACTGTCAGGTGGAAATACTACGTCTATTTCAGTTCTCCACTGAGTTACCATATCAAGAAACTCTTAAATTCCAAGTCAGTTTTATATTTGAGAGGTGAAGTTTAAAAAAAAAATTTTTACTCTCATGTTTATTCTCTTGTGGAATGCTAGGTTTAGTATTACAATATGGTTGTCTAAGCTACTGAAATGTGACAAATGTCCATGCCAATGTCTAAGTGCTGCAAAACAGTGTTTAACTATAAAGACTTGAAATAAACACTTGTAATTGTATAGGTGAGTTCTGATGGTTTTTAAACTGATGCCTATGTGTATGCCAGCCACAAACCTTGGGGAAGTTTATTACCTGTACACTTATATACAAATATATCCCATATGTGTGTATGCACAAGGCATGTATTAATTTATATTTGAAAATTATAAAATTATATATACATACACATACATGTTTATCTGTACCCACCCTCACCACTGAGCTCACTTCTGTAGCACTAATGAGCTTCATGCCCAATTATTATTGCTGTTCTATATAACTCCATGGTTTTAGTGTCAAAATGATACACCTTTTTGGGTGCAGGATAGATGTTTGTGCATATAGATATGTGTATTTGTGCATGTTTGTGTTTATACAGGAACTGTTTCTCCCCTTTATGGTTCAGTCATGCATTATACCAATAAACAGTCTTTTCACAATAGTTTTGGAATTCTAAACCTACTTTTGGAAAACTGTGTTCACAGTTACAAAACATATATATGATCAAAACCTATTGAGTACATATGTTCTTTAAATCTGGCTATATCCTGGGCTGGGGATTTAGCTCAGTGGTACTGTGCCTACCTCGCAAGCACAAGTTCCTGAGTTCGATCCCCGGTACCAAAAAAAAAAAAATCTGACTATATCCTAGCCATTAGACAAATTCTTTTTTTTTTTTTTTTTTTTTTTGGTACTGGGGATCGAACTTGGGTTCTTGCGCTTGCGAGGCAGGCGGCAGAACCACTGAACTAAATCCCTGGCTCTATTAGACAAATTCTTAAAAAAGCAAAACACTCTTAATAAGATGTTACGGTAACCTTAACTATACCAGTACCTGTACTTAGAATAGTTGATATTATATTTTAAAAGTTGACAAAATGATGTTAAAGATTTTAAAAACACTACGCATCTGCATTAAATATATAAAGGTTTTCACTAAGGGTCTGGTTCAGTTCATTGTCTAACATTTTTATGTACCAAGATTGACTAATATCCTAGTCATTATTCTTAGTCTTTAAAGAGAGACAAAATTCTTTATACGAGATGATTTCTGCTCTAGTCATAGATCGCCTAAGTTGAGCTCACCCTATGATAACAGTTCTCTAAGGCTGGTCTGAAGACTGTGGGGTGAGAGGTGGAGCCCTAGCTTAAGAGTCATGAGAGCTACACTCTGTTCCTCCACAATGACCTGCCTCTGAGTGACACTGGCACCGTAATCACTTCTGTACAGCTGGGCAGGCAGGGTCAAAGTGTGGAATGGTTACCACCCTGGGTAATGTGGTAGTAGGAATGTGACTGTTAAACATTCAGCCATATATTCGAATTCTGATTCTCAGCTCTTCCAATTCTGTGATTTTGTTTTTTGGTTTTGGTACTGGGGATCAAACTTGGGACCTTGGGCTTGCCAGGCAAGCAGCAGAACCACTGAGCTAAATCCCCAGTCCCCAATTCTGTGATTTTGATTACAACAGGAGAAAAGTTGCAGCTGAGTGCTCCATACCAATTATTTCTCTAATACTCCCCAATCTTGCAAACCATGTGCACCTGTTTTTTATTTCTAACAAAGAAGGGAATAACTAGGATTTGATCAAACTGTCACCCAATCTATGGCCACGAGATAAAATCTTTTTTTTTTTTTTGAGATAACTTTTTTTGGGGGGTGGTGGGGGAGGGTACTGGGGGACTGAACTTGGGACCTTGTGCTTGTGAGGCAGGCAGTGGAACCACTGAGCTAAATCCCTGGGCTGAGATAAAATCTTTAGAAACAAAAGTTTAAATTCAAAAAAAACCTGAGTCCTTTAACTGAAAGTGTTAGATAAACAACAGATGAAGTAGTGTGTGGAAATGCTATATCTCATGCCACTGACATGTGAAGGGATGAAGTTTGTTAAGTCCTCCTCAAAAGCTGGAGTCAGCAAAGAACCAGATAACTCAAAGGGAAGTTCAAATCTTGGAGGTGTTTTCCAAAGCCAAGCAGGTTGATTTCACTTTCAAATGCCGCACAGTGGGTTCTCACCTGTAAGGAACGCAGCACCCTCTTCAAGCCCTCATAATCTTTCTCTGTCAGTGGTGTGAGCACTGTCATGGCATCCTCTGTCGACTGGCACTGTGGACAGACATACTCATCAATGAGCTCTGCCTCACTTTGCAAGATGCCAACGCAGCGCCCATGGTACCAATTCTGACACCGATCACAGCCAATATAAAATCTGTAAGATCCGAAACGAAAATGTGAATCCAACACAGATGAGATAACATCACTTATAATTTGCTTTAAATAAAACATGCAACTAAAAATTTGCTAAAGCTGGGATATAAAAGTTTTATTATTATGGTTGTTTTAATACTTTTAAGATTGGCATTCCAATGTGTTTAGTATTTCTGATGTTAGGAACAAGCAGTATAAGTTTACTAAGAGCACTGTGTGTGTATATATATATATTTTTGGTACCGGGGATTGAACTCGGGTCCTTGCGCTTGCACAGCAGGTGGCAAAACCACTGAGCTAAATCCCCGGCCCTGCACTGTGTATATGGAAAACCAATTTGAAGAAAAATGCAAAACATTTTAATTCATTTTAAAGCTCAAAACAAAATGAAGCCAAAAATCTTTCAACTAGTACCATATCAAATGGGAGTTCAAAATCCTATAAGCTAATAACAGTATCAGAGCTTGTACCAAAATTAGTGTTCTTCTAACCTACAATAAAGCACCAATTCAAACACTGATAAAGTCCAAACGAGTCAGGCTATTTTAATCTCATTAATTTCTATGTTAAAATATTCAAGAATCAAATCTACCATTAAACCACATTTCCCCCCAGTGCATCTCAAGCATTCACTATGAAGCAACATAAATTTTGAAGGGGAGGTAAAGAGGGAAAAAGAGAAAAAAATGGAAAGGAACTTGTAATGTAAGTGTATAATATATGCAGAAAAATATCTTTCTTTTTATTTTAAAATAACCAGTCAGAGCAATTTGGCTTCCTACATTATTAAATATGATGCTCTTATCAGAACTCACTGTGACTCATCATAAGGTGTTCTGCAGATACAGTACAATTCCTCACTGCTGCCCTCTTGTGCCCGTTTACAATCATTACAGATGTACACATCCATTTTCTTAGCCTCCTTTTCTGTGATGCCAACACATTCTCCATGATACCAGTTAGTACAAAGATCACAGCCAATATAGAACCTAAAAGTATTCACAATGAAAATGACAATGTGATTGTCATTTTGAGCTGCATGGTACTTAAATCTGTCTTTCCTGCCCTGATTCACTTTCTTACAGAGTAATTTTCTGCAATGAGTCAGCTACACATCCTAAATCCAACCATTCTACTCCTGGAAAACTACAGCATCTGACACTGTATCAAGTGTGGAAACATAAAGTCACTCACATCAATTTCAACAAATACACTGTTTAATGAAATATGGATCTTTAAAAATATACTAGAATTTGAAAAAATAAACAACACACTGATGGTGATGTCTTCCTAATGAATGTGTGCAAAACTATAACAGGCACAAAAACCAAAGCCAAAGAATCAAAGACTTACATCTGTCAAACCTATTCCACAGAAGCCATTTCAATATTAGGGCTATTTCTTAGATAGGTTTGAAAATGTATCTCACAATTTAAATTTGAAAACAAAGCAAAGCGCAAACACCAAGTAGAAGTTACACTACAAGAAACATGCAGGTCAGCCAGGTGCAGAAGATAAATGGTCAAAATATGATATGAAGAAGAAAACTAAGAAAAGTGCATGTAGTAATTCAACTTCTGCCAAGCTTTCTAAATAGAATTGGAATTTAATCTTATTAAGATCATCTCTCATAATGATTAAAACATGGGCCAATTTTTCAGTTAATAAAATGTGTGTAGACAATGTGGAAAGTAGACTGGTTAATTAACTAGAATCCTAAAGGAAATGCTTCAATTCAAAACCAGATATGCATGGTAGGGAGAACAATGTTAGGAGTTATCTAAAGCCCTGAAAGGTTCTGTAGTATCTAGCAAATATGAGTGTGTGATGGCAAGTAACCTCTACAGTACCAGCCAAGTGTGGGTGCATAACGGTAGCCAACCTAGAGGCTTTTGTAATACAGGCACCCTAAAGACAAAATCAGAAGTATCTCTGTAATGAATGTAGTGTATATCGAAAAGTGCTGATACACAATGCAAAGAAATGCCATGTCAGAGTCATAGCTAGAGTTAGTGTGAATCTCAAGGGAACCTGACTGGCTTTCAGACACTACTGGCATCTTGTTCTAACACATTTCTTGGTAGAACAGTGATGGTGAATATCTTAAGAGCTTTCAATAACAGCCAGCCAGCTGTAGCACGTGTGTCATAGATTTGCCACCACTGACACAGAAGAATGGAAGTGGTCCTCAAGCTACAGAGTGACCTGCATCACCAATGTGAGGGAATAATACATGGTCTTAAGCTTTAACTTATTACCAGAAACTTTTGTATTTCGACAACTGCCACACGCTATTTCCTGTGGGGACCTTCTGAGGTATTTTTGTATGTTGCCTCTTCAGGGTGGTGGGGTGTATGTCCTGGAAGTAAGTTCAGGACTTGTACTTAATTTCGAGTCGCTCTTACTAGATTCCCAAACTGGGCTGTTTAGGTATGAGAGATTACAAAATACTCCTAAACATACTAACTCCTTCCAACTAGAACAAGAAGTAAAAAAATCTGATATACTGAAATGTTAATAATGGTAAACTGAAAAATATGAAATATCTACAAATTAATGAGGCAATTTCAATACAATGAGAACAAGTACAGGTGTACTTCATTTTACAAAACTTTGGCATTCTAAAACAGTTCTGTGTGAAATTAATTTCTGTGATTTGAATGAATACTTTCAAAAGGTCAAAGAAGCCTTATCATGCAAAGAAATTCCACAAGCAGATCATTTTATGAAGAAGAGTAACTTTTGTTTGAGCAATCAGTATGTTTTGCTTAAAGTGAGGCACACCTGTAACAGACTAAGGGAAAAATCGGTTAATAGGGTTCCACTTTTTAAATTATGTGTAATTTTTAATGAGATAAGACAATGAAAAATGATGACGATGCCTAAATTGATCTGTGTTCAACAGACAGGTGAGCCTATCAACAAAAAGTTTTCATCTGGCACTTGCAAACAGACCATAATTTGGACAAGGCAGTGTCAATGTTGTCACTTAAATATCATTAGAGATCACAATTTTATTTTATGCATCAATCAGGCATTTGTTTAAGTAAACATTAGGCATTTCCAAATCTGAAAGATCATTAAAAAAAAAATCAACAGTATCAAACTTTTCAGTACTATAGAAAATATTTGGTTAATGATGGCTTTAAAAAGCTGGCCTACGTCTTGATGTTCAAAATAGAAGTTAAATACTTAGTTCAATGATAGTGATGACCTAAATAAATAAATAAAACTACATTTATGGACTGTCTTGAAAATCTTGTTTTAAAAAAAAAAAGAAAATCTTGTTTACATCACAAATACAATTGTCAAAAACAGTTTCCAGCTGCCACGCTTATCAAATATTTGAGTTTTGTAGTTGAAAAATGAGTAGAAGAAACACTTTTTTTTTGCATATTTCTTGCTTTTGTCGCCAAGAGTAGGAATGCTGACAAAAACATTAGGTTGCAGAACTTCAATACAAAAACACAAGAGCAAGCCCCGCCCCCAAAAAACCTATCAAACCACCTGGAACCAATCCAGTTTGAAGCCTCTTGCACCATACATATTCAGATAGATTCTAGGATCTAGAGATCCCAGAAAGGAAACTCTCAACTCTGGGCTTCAACAGTTAATATACCACCTTCTCCAGTCAGCATTACTGATTGACTTGGAGTTGATCCAGAGAAAACAGAAGAAAGCAAAAGAGCAACAGAAAGCTTGTTTTTGACAGAAAAGAATATAATGGAGGACATACAAGACTTGTGAATACATGAAATAGCAAATTTTACTTCACTGCTATCAAGATTAAAAAATATGAGATGCAAGACCAGAAATGAAACATTATTATCCTCACACTAGATTATTTTCATTATTATCATTATCAATATGCTCATTTTCGTCAAAAGTATCAATGTAACGCTAATCTTAAAAAAAAAATAAACTAGAGCTCAAAAAGATCTACTCACTTAGATTCATCATAAGGCGTTTTACAAATACAGTAAAGCTTTGTGTCCTTCTTAGTTTCTTTTGAGGTAGTAGAGATCATTTTCTTCTTCTTGGACTTTGAGCTGGCGTCTTTCTCCTCTTCTCGCTTCCTCTTCTGGGAAGCGGCAGGCAGCGGGGATGTGGGGAGGGCCGAGTGCTGCAGAGCAGGCGTGGAGGGGGGTGAAGGTGGAGTGGCTGGAGGGGGCACTGCTGTAGCCAGAGGGGGAGAGGGTGCTACTGCTGCACTGGCCTGTAGCACCTGCACCATGTCTTTTTCTTTCTTTATTTTCAGGTCTCTCTTCAACTCTTCCTGTTGTCAATTAAAGACAATACAAGAATTCTGTAAATGAATGAGCTGACCAGGGGCTTTTACATTACTCCCACTTGCCATAGCAGCTCCATGGTTCAGCCTGACGTGAGAGTCTTAGTAATTAATTCTACACCCGAGTTTTCCTGCTTGCTTCATCTTTGTGGTACTGGGGATTGAATCCATGCCCTCCTGCATGGTTGGCGAGTGCCCTACCACTGAGCTATATCCCCAAGCCCCAAATTTTCTTTAGCCCATTAAGACAATCAGAAATAGAAAATGAAGATTATACAATGAGAAAGCTGCTAGATGTCTTCAAAGGAGACCTGACTGAAAGATGAATGTGTCTATACAGAATGCGCCTTTCTGGCTTGCCCTTGTCCTGTCCTGGTGATTTCAGTAGTTGCTCAGGATGGGATTCCAAGTGTCCACACCTACCAGTTGCTTCCTTTGCCCCTCATTCTTGTCTTAAGGAAGACTGAACACAAACTCAACATAGGTTTCAAAATGCAGCTTGACTATCACAAAGCAGAATGAAAGACAGTTCCTATTATGTTTCTATGTTATGTTCCTACGTTCCTATGTCTAGATTTTAAGGGTTAGGAAGAGCTAGGTGGCAAAACAGTTTTCTCAATATAGGTTCTGAAATAAAACCCTGACTCTTTCATGTGAAATACCCTTTAGACACACTTTTGCTGCAAATTCTTGGAAATAACGACTAAAGCAAATTGTATTATCTCAGAGAAACCCACTGGGATTGACACCCATGAACAAACATGGTGCAAGCAAATAAAAATCTGAGACATTTATAAATTTCTACAATAATTTAAAATAACAAAAATACTTCAGATATATTTTCTTCATCACAATTATTTCCTTTCAAAATTATATATGGCTTGGGCCAGGGATTTAGCTCCGTGCCACCACGCCTGCCTCCCAAGTGCAAGGTCCTGAGTTTGATTCTCGGTGTGGAAAAAAATATTATATAAGGCTTAAGAATAATTTAAACAGGGCTGGGGATTTAGCTCAGTGGTTTCACCGCCTGCTGCGGAAGCGCAAGGACCAGAGTTCAATCCCCGGTGCCAAAAAAAAAAAAAAAAAAGAATAATTTAAACAGTCCACAAATTCTTTGAATTTTTTTTTTTTTAAATTTTGTGAGACAGGGTCTTGCTATGTAGTTCATCCTGACCTTAAAATTACTATGCAGCCCAGGCTGGCCTCAAACTCACAGCAATCCTCCTGCTTTAGCTTCGTGAGAGCTGGGATCACAGGCATTCACCACCATACCCAGCTGTCCTTTCAAGAGTTTTTACAGAAGCCTGAACTGATTTTTTTTGCCTCTTAAAAAATAAAAATTAGGGGTGGGGGAAAAGAAAAAAGGAAAAGGAATAAATACGAGAAAAGGAAAAAGTGGAAACAAAGTCTTTGCAAATAGGGAGGGCTGGAGGGGTTGAAGGGAGGGCAGGGGAATGGAGAAAAAATAAGAACCAAGACACATCATGTAAAGGTGCAAATTCCCAATGATGAATGTCATCATATTGCATACCTAAAATGTACCAATAAACTTAATAAAAAAAGAAATTAAAAAACAAAAAAGAAAAAAGCATACCTACAATCCCACCACTGTCATTGCTTTTTCCTCTGATTTTTAATTCATATATTTACACATCCTCAATCAAGTTGAATTTGTAACTTTGTTTGTTGGGATTTTAAATTTTTCTAAACCCAGGTATATTGTATTATTCCTGTAATCCCAGAACTTGGGGGTATCAGGAGTTCAAGACCAAAAAATAAAATTAAATGAAAAATAAATAAATAAATATCCCACTGATTTTTGGTGCTATACTGAATTGGAATAATTCTTTTAAAAATGGTGAACATTTGTTTTTGTTTTTTTTTTAAGGATTCTAGCTACTAAGAGGTTTAGCGAGAGGTGTCCCAAGTCTTATATTCTTACAATGGAACACCACATAAAAGTAGAGAAACAAAATCCTGATTCTTAAAAAGCAACATGTTGCTGGGGATTTAGCTCACTGGTTTTGGCGCCTGCTGGGCAAGCGCAAGGACCCAAGTTCGATCCCCAGTACCAGAAAAAAAAAAAAAAAAGCAACACGTTCACAACTTATTTTTCTGCCCCTGTTTTTGCTGTTATGGTAGTTTCACTTAAATTCTAGAGACACAATGAATCTTCCTAGTGAGAAAATGAATAATAAGAATAATTTAAATGAATATGTAGAGCTACAGGAATTTGACAGCTTCTAAAACAGAGATATTACGTATAAGTACATGGGAAAAGAAAAGAAAGAATAAAACAATTACAAGAATTTGTTACAGTCAAGACTCTGGCACTTAGAAAGTTAAAACCCCACATCACAAAAACTCGAAAACCCAAGCAAGCATGGTGGCACATGCCTGAAATCCCAGCACTCAGGAGGCTGAAGAAGGAGGATTGCTACAAATTTGAGGCCAGCCTGAACTACAAAGGGAGACCCCCTGTCTCAATACAACAAACAAACAAACAAACAAATAAACAAACCCACTCCAAAATTCTAACAAACGGACAGGTGTGGTGGTGCACACCTGTAATCCCAGCATTCTGGGAGAAGGCAGGAAGAATACAAGTTTAAGCCCAGACTGGGCAAATGAATGACTTAAAAGGGCTGATAATAGAGCTGAGTATAAAGGCCCTGGGTTCACTGAAATTACCAGGAAAAAAAAAAAACTAACAAAGAAACACAAATGGTCCTGGTTTAATGAGTCTACTTTCTCTGTCTAGAGTCTAGAGCACTGGTGGCAAAGCTATGGCATGCACACCACAGCAGGCTGTTTGTATCACTGAAAGCTCTAAAAGGTTTGTCATTACTGTTCTAGACAGTCTTGTGAGAAGATAAGCAATGTGACTAACTCAAGAGCCCTTCTTTACTGAAAAAGAGGCTGAATTTCTTCCTAGGGAAGGAAGTAAATCTTGAGTTTCATTTTCCTAATTTATGTTATATGTTTACAATGTCATAAGATGGAGTTTAGAAACATCAAAGAGGTCAAGATAGTGTCGTGGTGCACACACTTTGATACTCCTTACTCCTGTAAAAACATACCAACAATAGTAAAATATGAAAAAGAACAGCTGGGCGTGGTGGGGCATGCCTGTAATCGCAGCACTGGGGAGGCTGAGGAAGGAGGATTGCTGTGAGTTCAGGCCAGCCTGTACATAGTGAGACCATGTCCCCAAAAAAAGAGCGAAGTGCAAGGCACAGGCATGCTTGAGTAAGACATAAATATAGGCCCCGGAATAGGAATATAAACTGAGCAATACTAAAACTGCAGGCCTTACTTACACTCCATATTCAGAACTAGGAAGTGGTAGCCAAACTACAGCACTGAGAGTTCTTCAGGATAAAGGGCACTGAACGTGATTTGTATCAGCTGGGTGTTGACAGCTGGCTTTCTGCTAGAAGGTAAGAGTTGACTGGGCTAACTGGGCTTCAAAAAAGGAAGCAAAAGCAAAACTTTTCACTCAAAATAAGTTTGCAAAACCAAGTGTCAAAAAATGAGAACATGCTGCCACCTACCTCAAAAGCGCAAGGTCCCGAGTTCAATCACCATACCAAAAAAAAAAAAAAAAAAAGAGAACATGGAATGTAAAAAAAGATAAAAAGGCCAGAGATTTAGCTCAGTGGCTCCAGCACCTGCCTTGTAAGTGCAGGGTCCTGAGTTCGATCCCTGGTACCAAAAAACAACAACAACAAAAAAAACCCAAACCAAAACAAAACAAAATGAATTCATTACAGAAGAAATTAATTTCAAATATGACAAAAAATTGTAATAAAGGTGATATAGTTAAAGAGCTAAATGAAGGAGTAAGTTCTATTAAAAAGTGAACAAGAACTTATTTTATCAAAAACAAGCATATGGTAAAGGCAGAGGGCTACAGAAGACGGAGTACTATATTTAGGAGAGTGTAACTTTTCTGTACATACTATACTGGCAGCTTATAGACTTACGAAATTTACATCTAAATACAGAATGACCTATTGTCAATAACAATAGGTCAATATGGTTCATCAATTTGAAAAAAGTGACACAGTAATGCAAGCTATTCATAATAGGAAAACCTGTGTGAATGGGAAGTATATGAGGGTACTGGACCTCTGCACTTGTTTTTCTATAAACAGAACTGCTCTATAAATAAAGCCTATTTAAAAAGAAAGACAAGCAAAAATAATGTAAGAGTAGATAAAGAATCAATCTCAAGGGCTGGGAATTTAGCTCAGTGGCACCGCGCCTACCTTGGAAGCGCAAGGTTCTGAGTTCAATCCATGGTACCACAAAAAAAAAAAAAGACTCAAATCTCATAACCTTATAAACAGAAAGTAAAATCATTATAATTTAAAACTGGGGTGGTGGTGGCAATAGGGTCTAAACCCAGGGCCTTTACACTGAGCTACATCGCCAATACTGTTGCTCATTAAAAAAAAATTTTTTTTTTGAGACAGGATTTTGCTATGTAGTTCAGGCTAACCTTGAACTCACCATGTAGTCCAGACCGGTCTCCAACTTGTGGTGATCCTCCTGCCTCAGCATCCCAGAGAGCTGGGATTTAAATTTTATTCTTAAAATATGCCAGTTGATAGGTATTTGAAAGTTATCTTTCAAAGCAAATTAGCTTATTAACATATTAATTCTACCAGTTAATGTTGAACATTTTAATTTAAAAATTTTCATCCTCATTAGATTCTATTTCTATATAAAATGTCTAACATGAATACATTAAAAATAAAAAAATATAGTTTAAAATTATCTAAGAATGATAAGATAATGAAAAATATTATGGTGGAATTACCTTTTTTTGCATAGTACAGGGAACTGAGAGCCCAGGGTCTCTGCCCTGAGCCGCACTCCCAGTCTTGTCAGAATCAAACTGAGCTCATCTTGCCGTACTCAGTCCCCACAGTGCTGAGACAACAAGCATGTACCAAGGTGCCCAGCTTTACATTATTTTTATGTGTTGGTCAAAAAAGCTTCTTTGAAGAACATTTCAATGTATACAACTGGTTTGTTTATATATAAAGGTTGAAACTGCAAATATTTCCCTACTTTGTGCAGACTGGGGAGTAGGAATAGTGTGAGGTACCTTAAATGTCAAATAAATACTTGTTGAATGAACTGACAGGACACACCACACTATATGTACATTTTTTTGGGGGTACAGGGGATTGAACTTGGGACCTTTCACTTGCAAGGCAGCAGGCAGCACCACTGAGCTAAATCTCTGGCCCTATATATACTATTCAACAGCCTACTTTTATTTGTTTGAGCATTTGTCTTTGAGGATTTCTCCCAAATAAGTTAAAGCCAAACACTATCCACACTGTTTTGGAAAGTGGAAGTCCATTTTGTGGAGACTTCATGTATGTCACTCAGTGGCTCTCAGCCGGGCATGGCACTGGCACCTCCTAGAGCAGTGGTGATGGACCTGTGGCACATGTGTCACAGCGGGCTGTTTATATCACTGGAAAGACTAAAACGTTCACCAACACAGTCCTAGAGACTGGGAATATTTGTAGACAGTAAGAGACTATCCGTTTGTGTGTGTGAGTTAAAATGAACAGGCTGTTACTGGAATTTGGTACCCAGAGCCAAAGAGCTCCTGTTGAAAAAAGTTCCAATCTCCACTTTGTCAACTTGAGGCTGATTCTAAATTTTTGGTATCATTAGTACTTTAGTGAATGCCCTTATTGAATTAGCTTGCCTCATTATTTTAATTTCTAGAAGTGAAATTACAGAGCAAACAGTGTCCACATTTTAGTTTTCTAAAACATGAAAAATACACACTGATGAAATGTTCTCTAGAACCACACTGTATTATCTGCTAAAACTGATGTTTTAGCATGATATGGTGGTGCTCACTTGTAATGCCAGCACTCTGGGAGGCTGAGGCAGGAAGACTGCAAGTTTGAGTCCTGCCTGGGCAACATAGTGAGACCTCAAAATAAAAAAGGGCTGGATATGTAGCTTAGTGTGAAGGCCCTGGATTCAACTGTACTGACCAAAAGAAAAAGTGTATCACAGTTCCTGTTGCATGAGTGTAACAAGAGCAAGAAAAAGCTATGTCAGTATGTATGAATAGATGTCTTCTTCCATCTTTAAAATAACTTTCCCAAGAAAGTAACAGATTTATAATGCTGCCCTACAGAATCAGTTACAAGTTAGGGGGAATATTTGTCTTTTTAAGTGGGCATATTTTACTTTTTATATTTATAATATTATTTTGCAGATTTCATCTTTGTTACAAAACATGACTTGAGAAAACTTTTAGCATAGACAATAAAAGGTATCCCAACAGAGTACTAAACATTTTGATCAATGGATTAACCTCTCAGAGTGGCTAGAGAATACACTAAAAACACACTCTTAAAAAACATAAAAATACACTTAGAAAAGCTTTGTCTTGCTTCAAAAGGTGTGCTTTTTAGTCAATATACTATATATACGCAAATGTAAATTCTGGGGTAAAAAAGGCTGGAATTTTAGGCTTAACCAAATATTCAAGGCAAGAAAGAAAAACACTGGATGTTAAATACTGGACACAGGACAGGAAATACTCTCTTACCTGCACTTCAATTTGCAGATCTTTGTCCAGGAGCGCTCTCTTTTTCAGGATTTCAGCTTTAAGTTGCTCTTTGTGTTTAAATAGCAGAGCAGAGAGCTTGGTAGCATTCTGCTTGCTCCGTTTCTGTTCCACGCTCTCTTCACGCTTTCTTTTTTTTGCTGCCTGTTTTTCTTCTTTATCTATCTTATCCAAAATATACTTCATCACCTGGTTACACACAATCATTCTAGAGAAAAATATACAACCTATGTAATGCTGGATGTTTCATTCTGAAAGGTTTAAGACATGAGTCTTCTATGTCCCTACAGATGATATGCAAACTTTCTGTGACTGCAAAGCTGCACACAGTAACAGAAACCCATCATGAACTATCTGTGCCCAAGTGTTCTTATTTAGCAAATTTTAATCAAGATTAAAAAAATACATACACTTACAACTCTTGTACATGGGCAGGCTAAAGAGAAGAGACCAATATACAAGGCCCTATGTTTCTCCCTACCTTTGATTTTCTTCTCTTTCAGTGGGAGTCAAGGTCTTTTTCTGTTTTAAATGTTCTATTACAGCATTATGCTTCATCACCACCTTTAGGACAGAACAAATCCAAAAGTGCACATTTTACAATGACTACAGTTGGTAAACAGAAACAATAGTAGAGATCAGAGCATACATGTTTCTCAAAGATATTTTAAGATTTTTATATTATTAAAACAAATGAAATTAAATTAGCAGCTACCAAATGTACTTGAGTGCTTACCATGTTTTAGGTGCCGTGTTAAGTACTTGACAATATTTTATTTATTCCTTATGACAATACTGAGCCATAGGTACAATTTTATAAATAAATAATGAGACAAAGAAATTAACCAACTTGTTTGAGATTAAGTAGTAAGTAATTCAGCTAGACTTTTCACCCAACTATTATGCTCCAAAGGCTGCTTTTACATTATTTCTTCCCAGGCATTAATTTTAAAGAGTTGTTCCCCCATGCCCCTTTTACAAAGATTAGGAAGATAGGTACTAGAATAATTCTCAACTTGTAGAGTGCTGACAGCTAGGTAATAACACATGTGAACACATTATGTATAGCTTCAATTTTATAGGACATTTACCTTATATCTTTAAAATCACATACATGACCCATGTAATCATTACAATAATCTCATCTGGCTGGAAAGAGAGGTGTTTTAATGAGTTTATAGATCAGGGGAGATAAGAGTTTCATGACTTGGTAACACTTGAAATCCACACTCTAACTCCTGCCTTGTGCTGAGCAGAGCACGCTGTAGATAAAAAGAAAGTTTTCTCCAGTAATGCTAAAGGATGTTGTATGTTTTAGTAGAGTAATTCCAACTCATCTAAATTACCTTACTTCACTAAAGTGCCACTGCAAGATGTCCCCGCATAATGGCACTTTTTACTTAAGCTACAGAGGAATATTATTTAAAACATTTTTATAAAGATGTGGCTGGAAACGCAAATGAATTTAACTTGTCCGCAATTTGTTTAGTCTCAGTCTACATGCAAACTAAGGAATAGCAAATAATTTCAAATGAACTGTTATAATACCTGAAGAGGCTTTAAGATTCTGTTAAACCTTTAAGTTTTGTATTAGTGATACTGAAACCTCAAAACTCCATTCTTCCCATCTCGGTTCTACCAAAATATACATCTTTTTGTTGTTTTTTTGAGACAGGGTCTCACTTTGTAGTTCAGGCTGGTCTTGAACACACTATGTAGCCCAGGCTAGCCTAGGACTCCTGGCGACCCTCCTGGCTCAGCCTGTGTGCTGGGATTACAGGCGTGCACCACCACGGCCAACTAGATTGTTTCTAATAAGCACTGACTCTATATATCCAGAGAAGAGTTTCAAACCATTGGAGTCATTCAGTGGTTTTAGCCCATCTAGTGGTGCTTCTAAATTTAAACATCAATGACTATGTCTCATTTAGGAAACCTAATACAACCAAGCACTAAGTCTACTGTACAGCACAATAATTCAAGCTACTGAACATGCTGCTTTGACTTAATAACTTTACCTGTTTCTGAATGATTTCACTTTGGTTAGAAGCTTGGAGGGTGTGTTCACGCTTAATTTCTATCTGTTGCTGTTTCTTCTTCTGCTGCTGATCCCTGAGTTGCTGAACCCTTTGCAACTGCTCTTGCACACTGGCTGCCTGCACTGTAACCACATTCTGAATCTGGTGAGTCTGTACAGCACTGCTTTGCTGAATTTGAATAGGTAACTGCAGTTTGATTTGCTGGGGCACACCACCTTGCTGAGCCTGTATCTGAGCCACAACCTGCGACTGGATCTGAGAGAGAACCTGGACTTGTTGCAGCTGAGGCACAGCAATGACTTGGGGCTGTGGCTGCTGTATTTGTAGCTGAGGACAGGATGGGGCTGAAACAGTAACTTGATTTAACGTTTGTCCTGATGAAAGAGTTTGAGTTGAAGACTGTACCTGGGCTTGTGATTGTGGCTGGCCTTGGGAAGGTATCTGAAGAGATGTATGTGGCTGAATGGGAATCGGTTGTGAGGTTGTAGTCTGAACCTGGGGTTGCTGTCCAGGAGACACTTGGGATGGAGTTGATGGACGTATTCGAGTCCGTGGTGGACTCTGGACACGAACAGGAGACTGTCCTTGGACATGACTTTGAGGCTGACACTGTGCTGCAACTTGGGGTTTGTTGGATGACTGGGTTGGTTGTGGTTCAGAAGGGACGAGGGATGAAACAGCTGTTTGGGTCTGAACTTCAGGCTGAGTTTGAACTTCAGGCTGAGTTGGGGACTGGGGTTGGGACTGGGGCTGGGGTTGGGATTGGGGCTGGGGCTGCGTTGAAGGCTGAGCAGTCTGTGGCTGGGCTTCTGCATGACTCACACTTGATGACTGATCTGGCAGAGGTTTGGCTTGTTGCACCTGTGTTTGGGGTGATAATTTACTCTGTTGTTGTTCACCTGAACCTGTGGACAGGAAAGACAAACCAATTCCATTATTCCAGAACACAAGATTGGTTAAAGAAAAATCGGAAGATTTTCCTGGAGTTGAGGATTCTGTATTTCAGTATAGATTTAAACTTTTGAAACAGTTATGCATGCTCACATTAGTCCTCTCCTGAATGAGGGAGCTAGAGCCTTATTCCTTGGCTGTCCTCTGTTTATCTAACTCTCCAGAAGGCTGACTTCGAAAGCAAGGCACAGCCTCTAAAAATGACCCAGGTTAGCCTCAAGCTACATTTTGCAGTTAGCCAGCGGCTAACAAAGTGATCAGGACCTGCAGCTCTCAATTGCAGGCTCTGAGCTGGATGTATTTGCCTGCCCTAAGATTACCTTCATAACTCTACCAGTGCCTACAAAGCATGGGAAGCATCAACAGTTACCATGATAGCCTTTATTTTTGCCCCACCTTTACACACACACACACACACAAACACACACACACATACACACAGGAAGGAGTTTTGACAAGGTGTCTACAAAAACAAGGAATGAAAACACCAAGATGTTGTGAAGTTGGCTATGCCAACTGTTAAGCTCATTGGGTTGAGGCACATCCTCCTAAAGATAAGCACTGGTCATCTTGTTCCTAGCAATGAGTGGTAGTAACATTCAGCACTTCCAACAAGTTCTACCTGCTGCTGTAGTGGAAACAGTTGTGGTGGTGGTGCTGGCCGCTGTGGCTGTTGTTGCCAATGGGGTGAAGAGGAATCGCTGTACAGTACCATTAGGCATTGCAGCTTGCATGAGCTGCTGCCCTGGCCCTGGGAGTATGGTCACCCCTTGAGGTATCAACTGCAACTGTCCAGTAGTTTGACCTTGTCCTTGAATTACTACTGTCAAACCCTGATTGCCACCCTGTGGATAAAATACACAAAATGCAATGTTCAAAGCACCAATCTGTAAAGCAATTCAGTTAAATCATTTGTATGGTATAAAAATCCTTAAACATACTGAAAAAAAGACCCCCTATTTATAGATATCTTCATCTATCCATGCAGTAACATAAGGAAGAATTTAGATAATCATAAATAAGAATATCTGTGTTATTTAGTGGGAAAAAAGCATGAACAATCGAGAATTCCAGTCCAAGTTCTCCAAATGGGCAGCCAGGTACAGGGGTACCTTGGTTCATGAACGCTTTTGTTTGTAAACAATTTGGTCTGCAAACAGAAGTGTCAAACATGACCACAGCTATCTTTCCCACATGAACACAAATGTGGCCATATCTTCCAAAATTGTGGAATAAATTAAGTTTGTGAACTGTATCTACAGACAAGCAACACCATTCTTCCAGATCCAAGTTTCTCAATCTATTAATAAGGGCACTGAAGTGAATTACTATAGTCTCCACCAAATTCTGATTTGAAACCACCTTATATTCATATTTTATAATTTTCAAATCACCTTCATATATATTATCTCATTTGACTGTCACAGTGGACTTGAGACCTAGTGAAATATCAGAGCAAATATTACTAAAATTTTATTCCCAATTAAGAAACTCAAGTTAAGAGTGCTGAGTGTTTAGCTCAGTGTCAAGAGTATTTGCCCAGCATGTGGGTTTGACTCCCAGTAGGGCAGGAAGAAAAGAAACTCAGGTTGCAAAGGTCAAGTCCTTTCACAGGAACAGCTGACAGCCAGAGTGATTTCCAGCCACAGACCTTTCAAACAGGACACTAATGAGACTCCGTACTTGATTCCAACAGGTGTAGGATTAAATTTGGTGATGGAAAGAAAGTGCTAATTCTTTGTCTTCATTCTCCCACATAGATGTTTGGAACACATTTCTCTACTGTAAAGCAACTTCCTAACAGTGTCTGGAATTATCTGTTCACAGATATCCGGAGAAAGATTTTTCTGTCATCGAAGCTCTGCAGTAACAGTGTCCAGCCAGTAGACAGGCACAATATGCTGTATGAATAGTTTATATTAAAATATGAAGGGTAAGGGCCGGGGATTTAGCTCAGTGGTTCTGGCACCTGCCTTGCAAGCAAGCGCAAGGTCCCCAGTTTGATCCCCAGTACCAACAAAACAAAACAAATATGAAGTTTGAGAGCAGGCCATTGGCTGCAGACTGAATTTCCCTTACTCGGTTCATCAACGTGTAAGCTTGACTGTCCGGATCTGTGCAGAAAACTAAAAAGAAAAAGAAAAACACCCCCCAACAGCCAATGGCCAAAACCGATGCCATGTAGTCGCTGTACTGAGTTCCAAATACTCATGAGTCTCTCACAATTTTTTTTTTGGTCCCGGGGATCAATCTCAGATTCTTGAGCTTGCGCAGCAGGCAGCGAAACCACTGAGCTAAATCCCTGGCCCCTCACAATTTTATTTTTGCTGGGGATTTAGCTCAGTGGTTCCAGCACCTGCCTCACAAGTGCAAGGTCCCGAGTTCAATCCCCAGTACAAAACACAAAAATTAAATTAAATTTAAAAAAAAAAGAAAAACTTTACTTTTGGTTTTCTAAAACTCTTTTCAAAAATACATAAAAACCCAAGTATAATTTAAAGAATAATTTAAATATGAAGAATAATTAGAAAGCAAATTAACTATCAAATCACCACTGTGCTCCCCACTGCCAGTAGCCAAGAAGCCCCACGTGATGCGCCCAGATCTGGTTCCTGGCCTTCCTGCAGTGCTCACTTCTCTGACAACACTGTATTTCATTACAGGATTCTGACTGAGGTACACAGCTTTTCAGGCCACTGAGATTCATGGCTTCAGGAGACCCATTCACAAAGAAAACAGTATAAGGGGAGTGGTATCTCCCGCTTGCCCGTGTGGTCCCAGGTAAAATGAAGTAGTTTTGTTTGGTACAGCTTAGTTTTGCATGTTTCTAAATTTTATACAAATGGAATCATAATTTGCATATTTTTTTTTGGTTACACACGTCTATGGTTCAATATTTTATTTATTTGGGTTTTTTGAAACAAGGTCTCACTGTGTAGTTCAAGTTGTCCTTGAACTCACTATGTAGCTGAGGCTGGTCTTGAACTCAGAGTAATCCTCCTGCCTCGGCCTCTCAAGTGCTGAGATTATGGGTATATCCCACCACACCTGGCTCCTAGTTCACTATTTTGTTTCTGAGAATTCTCTATGCAGTTTTGTACAGCTGTGCTCAAAGTCTGTTCATTCTTATTATTGTAAGAATGTACCACAATTCACTTATCTGATTGTAGACTTACAGTTGGATTCTTAAATTGACTTATGAGCAATGCTGCTATGAATATTTATATCCATGTTATCTAGGTGAATAAGGATTATCTTACATGAGTAAGGATTTCTCTATGGTTGTATCTAGAAGGAGAACTACTGAGACCTGAGGCATGTACATCTTCAACTGTACTAGATAATATCCAGAAGGCTTTCACAATGGGTACACCAAGTTATATTCCTATCAGTTGTGTTTTATAGTTCATTCTGCTCTTCCTCTTTGCTACTTGGTTTTGCTAGAAATTTAAACTTAGACTAATCTCAGAGGTATATGTTTTTTGTTGCTGTTTTATTTTTTGGCAATGATAGGGACTGAATCCAGGGCCTCACACGTGCTAGGCAAGTACTCTCCCATTGAGCTACATTCTCCAACCCTTAAGAAAATTTGGAGACAAGAGTCTCGGTTTGGGTAGACTCAAATTTGTGATACTTCTGCCCCAGTTTCCTAAGTAGCAAGGATAAAAGGTATGTGCCACTCTACCTGGCAGGTATATGGTTTTAGTGAGCATATCCTTCCTTAATAAGTTCAACAGGGATGGGAATTTAGCTCAGTGGTACTGTGGCTGCCTTGCAAGCACAAGGTCCTGAGTTCAATTCCCGGTACCAAAAAAAAAATTTCAGCAGTTAATTTTGGAATTTTGGACATTTGAATTTCATCCTTCCACATCAAGTTTGTCCATTTTTCTACTGACCTGCATGGAATTTTCCCTTCTTGCTTTGCAGTAATTATTCATATATTTGGGTTAAAGTTCTCGGTTGATTTTATTTATTCTATTTTCTTTTTCACTTTTTATAGTTAAAGAAATTGAAGTTTTTAATTTTTAAATTTGTTTTGTTGAGACAGGGTCTTGCTGTGTAGCCCAGGCTGGCCTTGAACTTGTAGTGCTTCTTGTGTCTCAGCTTCCTGGGTGCTGGGATTTCAGCATGCACCACCACACCTGCCCTGAAGTTTTATTTATTTATTTTGAAGGGTTTTTTTGGTACTGGGGATCGAACTTGGGTCCTTGCACTTGCACAGCAGCCGACGAAACCACTGAGCTAAATATCCCTGGCTGAAGTTTTATTTTTAATGAAGTTGAATTTATAAATCTTTCCCTTTATGGTTGGTGATTCTGTGTATTTAAAGAAAACTATGAAGATAATTATTTTAACTTCTGAAAGTATTATAGTTTTGCCTTTTATCCTTCTAGAATTGAGTTAATCTACGGAATAAGGCAGTGGTCCAATTTCATGGCTCCTCATATATATTCAGTTGACCCAACATCTGTTCTGAAAAGTTTATTCTTTCCTCAATGATCTGCAATAGCAGCACTGTCACATAATGAGTGTTCACATGAACAGAGGTCCCATTCTGCACTCTCTACGTTTCTATTGGTTTCTCTCTGTATCCCTGCCTCTGTACCTCATGTTAAATAGTTAAGGACCATAATAGCTCTAAACAAATCCTCCTGGTTTTCAATAGCTATTCTTTTTTTTTTTTTTTTTTGGTACCAGGGATTAAACTCGGGACTTTTTGTTTGCAAGGCAGGCGGCAGAACCACTGACCTAAATCCCCGGCCCATCAGTAGGTATTCTTAATCCTTTGTACTTTCGTGTAGTTTTAACTAAAATATAATTTAAAAATTAGCTTGTGGGGCCAGAGATCTAGCTCAGTGGTGCCACCACCTGCCTTGCAAGCACAAGGTCCCAAGTTCGATTCCTGGTACCAAAAAAAAAAAAAAACCGAGCTTGTGACTTCCACCCCCCCAAAAAAATCTCCTTCAGATTTTGGAAGGCAGCTATGCTCAACAACACTATGCCACCAACACAGACACTCTTTAAGGTTTTGTTTTGTTTTGTTTTTCTTTAAGGTTTTGATGGGAACTGCATTCAATCTATGGCTCACTAGTGGAAGAGTTGATAAAAAATACTGCATTTTGCAAGGAAGCAGCTTAATGTACTCAAATTTCATTTTGCTCATGGAAATTGGCTAATAAAATTTGAGTGGTTAAAAGGATTATCCATTTCACTGGTATAACTCCACCCATGACTCTATAGTTGGGATTCATTTTATCTTGCCTGTAAGAAGTATTCTTGTTTGACTTCAGGAAGGAGCCATTTCCTAAAATAAGTACAGTTTTTTTTTTCTTTCTGATTCTGGGAACTGAACTCAAGTCTTTGCTCCAAGCTACATCCCCCGCACTTTTTAATTTTTTGAGACAGGGTCTTGCTAAATTGCCAGCTAGGCTTAAGTCACAGTCCTCCTGCCTCATCTTCCCAGTGTGGGGTTACAGGCATGTGACACCACACCTGGCAAATAAGTACCTTTCTAAACTTACCAAGATATGGGCTGGGGATGTAATTCAGTGGTAGGGCAGTTGCCTAGCATACATGACGCCCAGCATGATCCTTAGCAGCATAAAAAACAAAAAATAACAAAAAACCCCTCCCAAAACACACACACAAAACCTTAAGGTCACCAAAATAAGTGTTTTTAAACTTACAGCAAGATAAGTGACATGTCCTCTAAAGTTAAAATGAAGTTACATTACTTACGTGGCCCTGTGTTAACTGAGTGAGCTGAGCCATGGTAAGCTTCACCTGTCCTTGTTGGGGGCGAGGGGGTTGTGGGGTTGATGACTGCGGATTTGGAGTGGATGGTCCTGAAGTTAAGCCCTTCTGCCCAGGTGTGGAGGAAGCTGTGCCTGGGGAAGAAACTGCAGTGGAAACGGGCTGGCCTCGGATTATCTGCGTCACCACTTGTTGAGGAGCACCTGCAGAAACAGGAAAATGCCCTGAGTGCCCATGTGCCCTGGGCAGCATTCTCAATTAAAATAACATTTCAGATAAATGTCTTCTTTTCAATTTTCAAAGGCATGGGGATCCCAGCAGCACAGATGCATTCAGAAGCCCACTCCCAAAGGACCTGCCTGAGTGACAGTGAGTCTGTTTCCACTGGGCTCACTGACAACCATGATCCAGTTGCTGCTGACTGTAATACAGTGAAAGAAACAATACTCTTCCTATAAACCTGAAGCCAAAACGACAACAGGAAAGAAAAAAGAGAATACACAAATATGCCATTTCAAATGGCTGCTTTTTCTTAGAAATACAGTAAAAATGAGATAATAAGTTTATAATAAATTTAATATAAATTTTACCAAAATAAAAAGAATTTCAATTGCCCTGGGGCCAACTGCATTTATAAATAAACTTATCTTATAGTCCTATGACACGGAGTTCAGAGACCATGAGGGAAGCACTATATTCTCAGTACTAGGGCAAAGTACTCAGAGAATGCGTCCATGGTCATTGTTTAATAAATTTCTGCTAGGGCCGGGGATTTAGCTCAGTGGTTTCACTGCCTGCTGCGCAAGCGCAAGGACCTGAATTCAATCCCCGGTACCAAAAAAATAAAAAATAAATAAATACATAAATAAATTTCTGCTAAATGAAAGGCATTAAGCTAAAATGGCTCTATAGTTCTCTAAAATCTTCTGTTTCTCATTTCACTTGCTAACAGTAGAATAAAAAGCCAAATGGAGTTTTCCCACCATTAATGAGAATAATTATATGGTAGCTAATCTGATTTTCAGATGCATTACTAATTAGTACAAATAAAAACCAAATTTCTAAAGTTTTTGTATTTACTTCCTGTCTTTCCTTCTTCTGTGAATGCATTTCTCTCCATGCATGTCTTTAATGGCTAAGTAGTATCTCATATTACTCCACATGGATAAAACTGAACCTGGGTTGTTTTTTTTTTGGTACCAGGGATCGAACTAAGGACCTTGCGCTTTCAAGGCAGGTGCGGTGCCACTGAGCTACATCCCCAGCCCAGCCTGTTTTGACATTCAGGATACTTTTCCTTATTCTTTGTTAAAATAATATACGGTAAAATCATTGCCTGTAAATTTTTGTGTGCTTCTGATGATCTCCTTAAAATACCCTTCACAAAATAATACCAAGTTCATAGTGGAAACATAATATGCCAATTCATACTTCTACTACCTGTGAGTGCCTATCTCACTGAACCCTACAATAGTCCAGCAATCAGAAATAATCTCATAGTATCAGTGCCTGAATTTCCTCATTTAAAACAAAAGGTTAGTATTTAAAATTGTTCCCACTCATGTGCTTCATTTGAGAACTCTGAATTCCCTCTCCATACTTTGCCCATTTCTGTACTTTTTCTACTTCTTTGTTTTTCACTCTTTTTTTTTCTTTTGGTACTGGGGATTGAACTTGGGTCCTTGTGCTTGTGCAGCAGGCGGTGAAACCACTGAGCTAAATCCTCGGCGTTTCTTTGTTTTTCATACTGCGGATTGATCCCAGGGCTTTGCATATGCTAGGCAAATGCTCAAACACAGCTACAACCCCAGCCCTAGAATGTATTTTCAAATAATGTATTTTTTCCACTTTTAATTTTATTTACTTCTCAACCTCTAAATAATTCTTAAGTAGCCAAATAGATTAGTGGTTTCTTTTTTATTTTTTGGTGTGGGGGAGCTTTAATTATTGCTCATAAAGCTCTCCTCTATTCTTGCATTCTCTCATTAGATATATACTCACAAGCACGTTCATAGTTATCATATACTGTATGTTGTAAGACATATACCCCCAACAATAAGCCAGTCACTATACTCTCCAGTATGAGCCAATTTTTATTATACTCCCAAACTATAAGACAATTATTCTAGCATGACTTCTTGTTCAAAGTGACATCTTTGTCATACAGCAGATTCTCAATGCCTCTTTTTTTTTGTTTTTTGTTTTTTTGGAGATAGGGTCTCGTGTGGTTCAGGCTGGCTTTGAACTCACTATGTAGCCCAGGGTGCCTTGAACTTATGGCAATTCTCCTGCCTCAGCTTCCCAAGGGCTGGGATTACAGGTTTGTGCCACCATGCCCAGCTATAATGCCTCTTTAATTATATCTATTTGTGTAGTTTCCTTTGGTATCATGCTCCTAACTTTGACTTTATAATATGTTTTAACAACCAACACTGCTAGTTTTTATTTACTATGCCTTCTTTTAAACTTTTCTTGGTTTTCTCATTCCTTTTCTTTTTTTGGTTCTGGGGATCAAACTCGGGTCCTTGCGCTTGCAAGGTAGGTGGCGAAACCACTGAGCTAAATCCCCAGCCCCTACTCTCATTCTTTTATTCACGATGAATCAAAAGACATAGTGTGGTAAAGTGCTTTAAATTTGAGGGGCTCTAGGTCCCAAAACTATATTTTTGCATGCTACAGTTTGAGGAACACATGAGAAGTTATTATCTTGGGTGATCACCTGATACAGACACATTGCTATCATAAGCATAGATAAAAGGATTGGTACTGATTATACAGTGGTCATTCACACAATCTAATTTGTATATACTACTTCTAGGTTATCATCAAAATGTAAATTCAAAAATTACTAATTTCCAATGAGATCCATTTCAAGAGAGTCTAGTGTGGTGCTGGGAAGGGGGCTAAGTTAACTGTGATCTATGCACAAACGGAGACATACTGTGAATACACCCACCTCTCGTTGGCCTCTCCCATCTTTGCCACCTCACTGACCACTTTGCTTCCCTTTCAATGTATCTGGACCACCTCCACCTAAGGATTTGGATCTGCGATGCTTCTGGGATGAAAACCTTTCCCCCAGATAGCGGCAGAGCTCTCATTCCCTCAGATCTTTCATTAAACTTTTACCTTCTATGGCTATCATTTCTAAAATCCAATAGCCCCTGCAAATCACTTCCAAACCTGAACTCTTCAACACTCCTAACTCCTTCCTCTACATTTTCCAAGGTGTTTATTAACATATTATATGCAAAATGTATACACTATTGGACATAATTACATTTATAAATACATATAAGAATTTACTTAGTTATTATCTACCTTTCCCCCTACACTGTTTCACAAGGGCAGGAATTATGCCTGAGTAATTCACAACTATTGTTGCATGGGTCTGGAACAGTGTCTGCCACAAAGTAATTCATATTTGTTCAATGAATAAATGAATATCTGGAATTGGGAAGCAGACAAATCCAGTTTGAGTCCCACCTAGCTTAACACTTTGAGAAATTATGAAACATTCTGAGTTTTAGTTTTTCATTTATAAATTGGGGATAATATTAGAACCTACTTTATATAAAAATTAAATGAAATTAAATGTGTATATATCGTCACAGACAGTGTGAGCAATATATGATAGCTGCTAGTACCACTACCCCTGCCACCATGAACCAACTGTTTAAAGGCAGACTGGCTGAAGGACATTACATGAGTACTAAAAGGCTGAGAGGCAGGGTTGGACAATTCACCACACAAACCCCATCTCTGCTGGGTATTTAAAATTTCAGGAGGAAAAGTGGTAAAACCCCAGGAGAGGGGTGTCTGGAAGTTCTAGATTCACATATGTACGTCAGACCCACATGAGTACAATTACAACAAGCAATAAGGAGCAAAGGATGTATATACCAAGGCTACTAGCAGTGTTTATATGAAATTTTACCAAAATTTTCAGTTTTCTAAGAACATTACCATTTAATATAAATAAATTTTATTTTCTTCTTTATACTAGTTATCTTTTCTTTTAGTTACCTAATTGATAGCTATAAGTTTTAAAATAAAAGTCAGGCGTGATGGTGCACACCTGTAATCTCAGCACTTTGGAGTCTGAGGCCAGCCTGGGCTACATAGTGTGTTCACGGCCAGTCTGAACTACACAGTGAGAGTCCTTCTTTAAAAAAAAAAAAAAGCACACTGAATGTTATCAACTGTCTCTGTTACATTAACTGAAATAATTAATACTGAGGTAAATGTTGATTAGGCATAAGACTGCTTTTTGTTAAAATGAAAAACTATGTCATATTTCAAATGAGAACTGTCCTAAATCTGCAAAATAAATACAAAATAGCTTATGAATCCTTCTTCATGTGCACTGGAACTATTTTATTTATTTTTAATTTTTTTTTTGGTACCGGGGATCGAACTCAGGACCTTGAGCTTTTGAGGCAGGCGGCAGTATGACTGAGCTAAATTCCGGGCCCTGGAACAATTTTATAAGGAAATTATTTATTTCTTACCCATTTTAAAGAATTTTAACTGATGAAACCATGATGTCCAGAATTCTGTTTGGTAGGGAATACTATGGTAACTTACCAAATTTATTTATTGGATATGAGTCACTGAGAGTTTGAATTTATAAATACAGTATTTAATTATGCCTCCTTATTAAAATAAAAAAAGTATGAACAGTGAGAATTCTGGATGTCTTAACACAAAGATACCTATACAGAATTCTCTTTTGAGTTAAAAAGAGCTCATTCTAGTCCTATTGTACTTCCTCATTCCCAATTTTGTGAAGTAGCCATTTTTCTTCCATTTCTTGACTTTTTTTTTGGTACTGGGGATCGAACTCGGGTCCTTGCGCTTGCGCAGCAGGCAGCGAAACCACAGAGCTAAATCCCTGGCCAAGCTTAGATTTCTAATTCAGGCATGGTAGCACATGCGTGACTTCCATCGCTCGGGAGGTTAATACAGGAGTGAGTTCAAAGCCAGCCTTGGGTACTCAGTGAGTTTAAGGCCAGCCTGAATTGCACAGAGAGACCCTGTCTTTAACAAACAAGCAAAAAAATAGACTTGTAACAGAATGGACTGTTTGAATGTTTTCTGCCTTTTTTTGTTTTCTGATTTATATTATTTGTTCTTTTATTTCCTCTCTTTTAAGACTTTTAAATATATTTTCTAACTTCCGCGTAAATTTAAGAATATGGGTTTTTGGTACAGTTTTATTAAATAATTATTTCTGGGCCAGGAATTTAGCTCAGTGGTTCCACTGCCTGCCTTGCAAGCACAAGGACCTGAGTTTGATCCCCAGTACCAAAAAAAAAAAAAAAAGTTATTTCAACTACCTAGTGCAGAGACTCAAATACTTGTTAAATAAATTGAGTCTGCCTGAGTTTAGCTTTGATGTTGGGTTTAAAGTTGTTATTTGATAATTTATTTGTTATTACAAAATAAATTATGTTTATATTATTATTAATAAATTATAAATTACTTTTATATTATAGAAACCTCAATATAAAAGTTATGTAAAACATTATGTTCATTAAAATATTTCCAAGCAAGGAAAGCCTTGCTAGTACTATATAGCTTAAAATCTTAATTTCTTTCTTAACTCCAATAAGTGTGGCCTTTATGCATTCCTACTTTTTTTGCAATTCATTAAGGTTTTAGCTATGGCTCCAGGACTATTTTTCCATAAATAGCCCACAAATATTTAAAATGAATGTGCATTCCTAAAGGCATAAAAATTGATACACAGTAGTATACTATGCTCTTCTTTATACCTCCTTGATTTTAAAGTTTTGATAGGTACTTTAATAATATTTAATTCACAAGGACTCGAGATATTGTGCATTTTCAACACAATCTTTGTGTTTAAGCCATTTAAAATTTTAGTTATTATTAAATATTTTTTTGAAACAGGGTCTTACTATGTGGGTCAGACTGGACTTAAACTCACTAGTTAGCCCAGGCTGGCCTTGAGCACACAATGATCCTCTTGTTTCAGCTTTCTGAATGCTGGGAAAAAAGGTGAGCACCTTTGCCTGGCTTCTAGCAAATTGAAAATGAAATTCTTTGGGATAATTGTTTTTTTTCTTTTTGTAAATACTGAATTCTACTCTGTTATTATTATTAGGGCTATCATGTTCATTCATTCTTTCTTTCTTAGGTCTTTATGTCATTGTCTTTGACCTCTTCTTCGTTTTTTTGGTACCAGGGACCAAACTCGGGTCCTTGTGCTTGCAAGGCAGGCAGCGGAACCACTGAGCTAAATCCCCAGCCCCACCTCTTTATTTTTTACTTTTTAAAGCTTTCCTTGAAATTTGATTTTTAGGTAGTTTCTCATGAGTGTGTAAGAATTGTTTTTTTAAAAAACTTAGGTCTTGCCAGGGATTTAGCCCAGTGGTTCTGCTGCCTGTCTCACAAGTACAAGGACCTGAGTTCGATCCCTGGTAACAAAAAACAAAAAAAACTTAAAAGTCTTTACATTCTGCAACTTAGGGCTTAAACCTAGTTACATTAGCTATGATAAATGTAATTTGTATTTTTGTTTTGCTCATTTTTTTTTTACTTGAATGACTTGAACCTATATGTTCTATTTATTAGTTTCTTTTACATTTTTGATAAGCATACTTGACTCTATTTTTCTCTTATTGGCAAAGCCAAGAATAAAATAATATCTATGGATACAGCATACCATGGATTCGAAATTTAGTATGCTTGATTAATTTAAATTGGTATTTTCTAATTTGTACAGTGCCAGATACAGAGCAGTACAGATTTCCTATATTAGTCATTTAAATTAAAATGGTAATACTGGATGAATACCTGGCTGCACCATCACAGGTGTTCGAATAATTGCCTTTCCTAGTGTTGACTGTTGGAGAGGCGTTCTAATCACCGTCATACCAGGGCGGATCTGAGGCCCTGTGATTACCTATAAATGACAAAAAGGACAATGAATTAAAATGTTTTAAAAATTAAAGCACAAAGGATTCAGAACACAAGATCTTTAAACATTCTATACTGATAATGTCTACAAAAAAGACACATGCTCTTGGATATCACATTTTAAATTACATTAAGCATCAGAATAAAGATGGAATTTTGAGGAGAAAAAATTTAATTTATTTCACATGAGCCATACGAAATTCCTTGCCACTGGTACCTAGAATAGTCTACAAACTAAAAGGACAGAATGAGACTCAGCAAGGGTCTGCTCTATAACCACTGATCATAGGAAAATTCTGAGCCCTATTTTATCAAAGTTCCAATCCAAACCTGTAACCCAGAGAATGTAAGAATGAGACGAAGCAACAAATGCTCTTTCAAAGTTTTAAAAGGGAGCCTATAGAGCATGTTATTTCAGTTTTATAATTAGGGTCAGAACATTTTCGAGTTTGCAAAACTTTAGACCTTTTCCACAAAATTAGTACCAAAGTCCAATGTGTCTGATATCTGCAGATATCAGCTGATAACAAACTAGTTACAGTGTTATAGACCGTATTTTTTATTCTATTTCTTAACTAGGCTGCATCGCAGGTTTCCTTACATGACTGAGTACTGTCCACTGATTTATGTGAAGTTTTCCTTATAAAATCCTAGAAATTATTATTAAACTATGCTAATATGCTATTAAAGAAATGTTAAAAATGAATACTTCATATAATAACAAATAGATTCCCCCCCAAATCAGTACTTTGTCACAGATTAAGTGAAGGAAAGAAAAATTAGCTGGATGAATTTGTGAAGAGGCCATTTCAAACATTTAAACCCCATTGCTCAACACTTCAAAACACAGTCCTGTAAAGAACTCTTACTTGTGATGTGCTGGTGGTTGTTCCAGAGGCTGAGGTATTAGGCCTAATTGTGACTGTTGCTGTTCTGGGCTGGAATGAAGTAAAGGTTTGCTGACTTGTACCTGTACTCGATGGAATGATACCCAGGACTTTCTGCTGCACTTGAACAACGCCTTAAAAAAAGATGCAGAAATAATTAACAAGTGTTCCTTTTAAGGAAGAACATTAAGTGTTGTTGGTTTCTGAGAAACTACGTGTAGCAGTTTTATAGTGGACTACATAGAATGTGAGATCCAAGGACTGAAATCAGTGAAAAGGAAATGAAAAGTAATGGCAACAGTATGATCTGGCAAATGTGAATTAAAACTCTTCACATTTCCCTTACCTCCTTGTGTTGCTGGCACATTTACAGCGACAATCTTGCTGTTTGCAGGAAGTGGCAGTTTGGTAATTACTTTTCCTGCCATAGTGACTGGATTGCCTGTAATTTGGAACGTCTGACCTGTGCTGGCAATAGTTGTAGCAGATGTGGCAGCTGTGCTGGTGGCTAATGGGGTATAAGACATTTAATAAGCTTTAGATTTAAAATAACCAGCAACGTAGTGACTTCTAGGAAGGGCACCAATGCATGAAATGCGACTAACTTTGTATTTCTAATAAAAAACATTCCTCTCTACTCAAAGTGAACTATGTACATGTTAAAAGTGAAATAATGTAAGAGAAGAGCTTTTCTAATGTAATATTATGAATATTATCCGTAAGAAACCAACAGTTACAGCCTATTTGGTCAAACAGCTGCAGAAGGAAAACAATTTTCAAAGGAAATGTTTCATTTCAGTAGGGAAAGGATTGAAAATGCATTTTTCTGAATGAAAGCAATGTTTTATTTCATTACGGCTGTGTACCTGAATTTGACTGGCCTTGCTTAACCCATGTAGCAAAAGTCTGATGAAAGTTCTTGTTTTGCTGGAATGTAACTGTTGGTGGAGATCCAACTTTGGTAGTTAGTACCATTTTAGTTCCAGTAGTAACTGAGCCACTTATGGGGGCCACCATAACTTTCTGAGCTGGAGAGATAGTGCTGGTTGTACTGTTGGTTGGAGTGGTGGTAGAAGCGGCAATGACTGTAGGCTTTTGCTGCTCCAATCGTTTCTGAAGAAGTCAAAGAGAGAAAACATAAACCAAAAGAGGTCTAAATACAGAGTTCAGTCACAATTTCTCTAAGAAACTGCACTACATTTCCAAGATTATTCCCGCCCCTCCTTTTTGGTTTCGTAAAACGGGGTATTTCTATACAGTTCAGATTAACCTTGAACTGACTATATTGCCCATGCTGGTCTCGAATTCGTAGCAATCCTCCTGCCTCAGCTCCCCGTGTGCTGGGATTACAGGTGTGTGCCACCATACACAGCTGATATTTCACTTCTTGAGAGAAAATGTGACTATATAAACTGACCCTTGACTTTAATTTCCTGATGAAGGCAATATTTTTCATGTGTCTACATTAAATTTATTTCATTATAAGTACTACGTTGTTCACCACAGAAAACTAAAACTAATAAAAATTTTCTGGCTACAAATACCCTAGCTTTTAGAATGAAAACAGGAGAGATGTGGGACATCACACTGGAGAAACAGGAACACTATGTTGCTCAGTGGTAAAATTTAGAGCAGACGTAAATGACTGGAGCTGCAAAAGGTTTTTTATTGTACTATGTTAATTTATCCTGTTATGAAGAGCATTTAATTATTTAATATTGCTAGTCAAGTTGGCAAAACTTCCATTAAACAAGGTGAAAATATTAAAACAATTTTTCTAGACTTAGTATTATTCAGTTTGAATAGGAGAAAAATACATTAGACTATTTTACAGAGAATAGTATGATATTCATTCATTCATTCATTCATTCATTCAGAGGCTGGGTCTCACTTTGTAGTTCAGGCTGGCCCTGAACCCACTATGTAGCTCGGTCTGGCCTTGAACTTGTGGCGATCCTCCTGCCTAAGGCTACCAAGTACTGCAACCACACTCGGCATAATATGATTTTTAAAAATATAGGTTAAAGATAATTTGTACATCTTTTTTATAGATTGCTTAAATTTTTTTTTTCATATTTTATTTTTCAAACCCCTTATTTGAAAGCAAGTCTAAAGCTCACCTAAAAGATAGCAGACTCCTTTCCTACCTTTCTCTTCTAGAGAGCTCGGCAGATGTACCTTACAGGTACCAGAAACGATTCAGGTATGGTCAAGCTCTGCCATACCTGGATAAGCATGATAAACCTTGAGAAGACTGCCCTAGGCCACAGCCAGCTCACAGAGGTTCCTGCCCCTTCCCCCTAGCTCTGACTCACTTCCCACCGAGTGGGAACCCTCTCCAATACACTGGAAGGGGGAAGCACACTGGTGGTGGCTGGGCCTCCTTCAGGAGCAATCTGTTGAGTCTCTTTAAAAGAATGTTCTGCACACTCACAGGTGCACACCGTCTTTCACTCACATACAGGCACATGCATACTCTCTCTTGGCTCTACCCAGATGCTCCCCCAAAGAATTCAGCATGGCCTTCTAGGCCTTCCAGGGCACAGACACTGTCGCCTTCTACATGCATACCCTTTGCATATAAGGCAGATACAAGGCAGGATGTGGCCAAGGCATCTGGATAATCTGGCCAGCTCTCTCCAGTTAAGGTACAGTCTAGTTCAAGTCACCTCCATGAATGGTATGCTTAGGCCAGGTCCTCCTCTTGAGCACCAGGATGGCCTTGTCCTTTCTTTCTTTCTCTTTCTCATACATGCTCACAGGCACACACATTCTCAGGTTCATTATGTAAGCAAACCGTCTAGTCTAGGCCAGGAAACCTGCCCTGAAGGATGAAAGGTAGAATGGACAATAAAATTCCCCTTCAGAGATGACTGTCAAGTAATAGCCAAGGAAGGCAGTTCCTGTCAACAGGTTCACTTCCCATCCTCATTGCTCCCATTCTTCTTGCTTCAAGTCAAAGGAGAGAACTTCAAGAGGGGTAAGAAAGTAAATCTTGCCAATTAAACTGCTGGGAACAAGTCTGGCCATCTGTATATATGAATTCCTGGAGCAGATTTTGGCTTTCCAGCACCCACTTATCCCCTAAAGTCCCCTGATCCACCACCAAGAAGCCCACTGAGCAGTTCAATTTGTCCTGTCCCCAGGTCTCACCCCTTGGGGGAGGGGCAGGGATCTGCAACTTCTTGACAGAGGTTTTTCCCAGTTTCTGGGCAGAGCTGCATTCATCATCCCGTTCCATCCTATAGGCTGCTCTGGGTTTAATTTGGAAAGGGTGGGAGGCATGAGAGTGAGGGTCTCCTCCCCTTCCCAGTGTGGTCATACACCCTTCAGGTAAGGTGGGGTCAAACGATGGAGGGCTCCCTGGAGGCAAGAGCAGAGTCATAGACTGCTTAAATTTTTTAACAGCATATCAACAGTGGTTTGATAAGTAAACACACAAGCTTACACATGATGAGGAAACTGAGGCTCAGAGACGCTGTGTAACTGACCCAAGACCACAGAGCTAGTTCAGGGTAGAGCTAGAATGTCTACTAAGACCAAGTTCCAATGTTACTCATCTACATCATCACCACCCAATTATTCTATTACTTTTGTACACCTGAATACAGCGTGAGATACTTCATATGATTTCTTATAATAAAAGGACTATAGTTTTGGATACTTAAGAGATGTCAGCTAACTGAATCAATTTAAAATAAAAAAGGTGGCCTGGTGTAGTGATCCACACCTATAATCTTAGCTACTTGGGAAGCTGAGGAAAGAGAATCACAAATTTGAGATCAAACCGTGCAACTTACTGAGCCACTATTTCAGAATTAAAAAGCCTGGGGATGTAGCTCTGAGCTAGACCACTTGCCAAGCATGTGTGAGTCTCTGGGTTCAATATTCAGCACTCCAATACAAAAACAAAAACAAAAAACAAGCCAACAAAATAATCCACATATTTAATACTTATTTTCTGGGTAGATATAGCTTTAAAACTGGAAGTGCTGGTTAAGTATTCACAAAAAATTTTACAAAGCAATGCCATAGGTTACACTGTACAAATGACAAAATATATCCATAAAATAGAAAACCAACCAGGCAGCTGGGCACAGTGGTGGCACACCTGTAATATCAGCTACCTGGGAGGTTAAGGTATAAAGGTCAAATTCAAGTTCAAGGCTAGCCTGGGGAAGTTAGGGAGACCCTGTCTCAAAAGAATAAGATAAAGATATGTAGTTCAGTGGTAGAGTGCCCTTAGGTTTCATCCCCAGTACCAAAACCAAATAAAGCTAAGCCAAAACACAACACAACACCACAACTAGGCAATTGTGATTTGGGATAAATTTCCTGTGACAGATAATATTAAATATAGAATCCAAAACTGGCCTTTTCTCAAACTCCCTCATCCCCATACCAGGGATTGAACTCAGGACCAGGCACGGCGCCACTGAGCTAAATCCCTGGCCCCACTTTTCTCAAACTTTAAGCAAGAATGAGAATATATAGGACCTGAAAGGTAGCATCAATTACAACTTTTATAGTTTTACTACAAATTTTTTGTTTTCGTGTGTGGTTTTTCCAGTGCTAGGAATTGAACTCAAGATACTTTCACATGCTAGGGAAGCTCTCTGTCACTCAGCTATATCCACTGTCCCATAAAGCTATTTTTAAGTAAAGAAATAAAGTTATATGTTAAGGCACATTTTTTTAAAAATCCCACAAGAATATACAATTACTCTTTTTGGTGTGCATGAATTCACTAAAAATGCAAGCTTGTCGTTAGGTGGGTTTCCTACTAGGCAGGTAATCATAGCTATTAGGGGAGCCTCCACTTGGATCCTGAGGTCCTCTGCCACCTTCTGTGCACTAACCTTAGCTTGTTGCTCAACTGCTTGGGCCTTTTCTTTCTCCACTCTGAAAGAAAAAAAGGGGGAACTTTTATCAGAAACCAACTGATGAGACATCTGACATCTAATGGAAATGAAATCTGTTTGAGAGTCACAGAACACAAAGTGAGGTCTCTAACCCCGGGTCACAGACTGGAACCTGTCCATCACCCATTAGGAACTGGGCTGAACAGCAGGAGGAAAGCCACAGGTGGGTAACAACTGAAGCTTCATCTATATTAAAGCCACCCTTCATCAGTCACATTAGCACCTGAGCTCTACCGCCTGTCAGATCAGCAGTGGCACTGGATTTTCACAGAAGCTTGAACCCTACTATGAACCGTCTCGCATCATCCCCAGATGTGACAGTCTACATGCTCAATGCTCCCACTAATTCTGCACTGTGGTGAGGTATACAATTGTTTCATTATATATTATATGTAACAATAACACAATGTATATATTACAATATAGTAGTAATAAATGTAATTGCTTGAATCATCCCCAAACAAGTCCCTTACCCCTCAAAAAATTATTTTCCATGGCCAGGGATTTAGCTCAGTGGCACCACCGCCTGCCTCGCAAGCGCAAGGTCCTGAGTTTAATCCCCGGTACCAAAAAAAAATTTATCTTACACAAAACAGGTCTGTGGTAACAAAAAGGTTGCAGACCACTGATACAAAGGCATGGAATTATTTGTTTCAAAATAAATATTTAAGACAGAAACAAATGAATGACATTAAAAATGAGAAGACCTTTTCATTTTATTTTATTTTTTTGGTGCCGGGGATTGAACTCAGGTCCTTGAGCTTGTGCAACAGGTGGCGAAACCACTGAGCTAAATCCCTGGCCCTTTATTTTTTTTGGTACCAGAGATCGAACTCAGGACCTTGTACTTGTGAGGCAGGGGCGATGCCACTGAGCTAAATCCACGACCCGAGAAGACCTTTTTAATTTAAGACTCTGGAATGTTGAGGCAGGAGGATCCAGAGTTTGAGCCTAGCCTGAGCAACTTAGCAAGACCTTATTTCAAAAGTAAAAAGGCATTAGGAATGTACTTCAGTGTCAAGGCTCCAGGCTCAATGCCCCTAGAACCAATAAAAACAAACAAAAAAAAGTAAGACCTTAAATTATTCACAGCTAGTTCTTAAAATCAGAAGATGGAAGCCAGGTGGGGTGGCACATGCCTGTAATACCAACAGTTGGGAGGCTGAGGCAAGAGTATCAACAGGAGTTCAAGGCCAGCCTGGGCTACATAATGAGACCCTGTCTCAAAAAGAAAAAAAGAAAAAAAAATTAAAAGGTGGAGTAAAATTAACTAGGATGTACTGAATAAACTATTAAAGTGATAATTCTTTAATTCTGAAGTAATAAAATCTTCAAATATCTGATTTATATGTTAGCCATTTCTTTACCTCTCAGCAAATGCCCTGATTTCCCATAGTTCCAACTCTTCCTCTGCTACCCAGGTTTCAATAATAACAGGGCCAGTTTGCTTGGGTGTTTCTGGTCTCTTTGGCCGCAGAGCACTTGATCGAAGTCCTTTCCTCTGAGGTGTAGGTGTTTCTTTGGAAAAATAAGAGTAGTCTGAGCAATATAACTTAAAATTAAATAGTTCTGGGATTTCCTCTTATTTTACAAAAAGCACTGGTTGGTAAACGTTTTCTTCTTAAAGGGTCAGATGATGTAAATGCATAACTAAGTGATAAGTTTGGCTGTGTTCCAATCAAACTTCATTCGCAAAAGCAGGCAGTGGGCCAAGGTTTGTGGGCCTCTGCTTGCCCATTTCTGCCATAAAAGGCCTATGAGCCTTTAAATGACCCTTTCCCTTTGCCTGGAACTCTATTCCTAATTCCCAACCCCCATGTGACTAAGACTATTCATCTTTCAAACTCCAACAAAGATACAACTTCCTTCAAAAACCTAGTACACTTCTGCCACAGTGGGGATGGGTATCCCCACCGTCCACATCTATGGGAACATGTATTTCTCCATCTCAGCACTAAGAATGGGGATTTACTGTAGTTACCCAACATAAAGAGATATGAACTAGATATATTGAGAACAGGTAGGGCTGGGGATTTAGCTCAGTGGTTCCACTGCCTGCCTCGCAAGCACAAGGTCCCAAGTTCGATCCCCAGTACCAAAAAAAAAAAAAAAAAGAACAGGTAAAAATATAAGGAGAAAATAAAAAAAATAGAAAGTAGGGAGGGGCAAAAATTAAGCCCTCCCTATGTTCAGGGAACACAGGAGCAGCATAATCAGAGGAAGAACAGAAGAAAACTGAATGCAGTAGGACTGGGATTGTACAAAATTATACAATACAAAGAAAAGTGAAGGTTGCAGGGTTCAGGAGACGGAAGACCTGTAGGGAACACTACCTTCCATCAGCATCTCTGCTCATCAAGTGGGTTGTGTATTTCTGTGCCAGGATAACAGTGTTTTAATTATGCTAATATTTCATTACCTACTAGGACAGGTGCCACTTTATTGGTGTTCTTTCACAAAGGTCATTCTCTGTCATTTATTTACCAAGATGAAATTTTAAGTCATTGCAATTTTCAAAAATGAAACGGATGCATTTGGGAAGAATTCATTTTCATAAAATGTTTCTATTGAAAGATACTGTTTCCTTTAAATATATTTATTTATTTATTTTTGGTACCAGGATCGAACTCAGGTCTTTGTGCTTAGAAGGCAGGCGGCAGTACCACTGAGCTAAATCCCTGGCCCTTTTTCATATATGTCTTAATAGATTTTTCCCTCAATATTTTTATTGTTCATATAGAATCACTGAACTTTGTTTACTTAGAAGTTTTCAGTCTAGACTCTTTTAGCATTAATATTTTGATTCTTATTAATTTGCTAGACAAACATTCATAATTACCTGTGAAATAGTGTTAATCTTTTCTATTTCTTACTTATTAATCTTTCTTATCTTACTGTACCACATTAACAGTTAATGATATTATAAAGTTATAACCTGTTTTTTTTTGCTTCCTTGAGAACACAGGTGGATATCCTTCTACGCATTTGCCACCCAGTGCCTATCTATTATGGTGTACACAAATGTCTCCTGAAAACTCCTTATGTCTCTTAGATAATTTCTATCCTGAGTACTGAAGTATCTTGCAATAGCATTAACTCTTGAGCTCATAAACCTTTGTAAGTCATACTCAGGACTAGGTGCCAGGACCACAATGAATCAAACACACTGATGGTTACCTTCCTGGAGCTGAGTCAAGCCACATGACTTGAGGCAGTATAATAGCCCTTTGTACAGTATCTCTAGGCATTAATGTCTGCCTAATAGAATCCTGACATGTTTATTACTTAAATATAATTTTTAAAACATAGTATTTTATAGTGAAAAACATACCTTTTATAAATGTTGAGTAAAGAGTTAAAAAAAACAATTACCTCCCCCCCCCATACTAGGGATCAAACTCGGGACCTTGTGCTTATGAGGCAGGCGGCAGAACCACTGAGCTAAATCCCCGGCCTCCCAAAAAAACAATTATCATTAAATTTCAATCCATAAAAGATTTTGTTAATAGGTCAATAGCAAAAGAACCAAATTTGTTCTATCTCCTACCTTTCGGTGCTTCTGGAACTCCAATGGGGCAAATGATTTTTCTGATGCAATATTCAGAACGAATACCATAAGGACCAACATCTCGCCTCTTAATTATTTCTGTTGTTGTGATTTCTGTTTCAGATGTTTCTATGGTGATTTAATTCACATAGTATTAATAACCACTTAAAATACTAAAAAGGTACAACATTTGGTGCTTTAAAAAAAGAGAAATGTATAGAATAAACTTCCAGAAATATCTGATAAGTTAATAGCTACAGGATCACTGCTAGACAGCAATAATACTGTTTCTTCCATATGGAAAATTCCTAAAGTGAACAAATACCTATAGGGTATAGCTTAGCTAAAGGTGGCAGCAGTCAAAATAATAAAAACTCTAGGACTGAAGCAACAAGCACAGGGTTCCAGGAGTCTGTTTACTTGACTATATTCTACAAAAATAAATATCATTTTATTATGTATTGCTGTTTTTGTGGAATTTGTTTTTAGCAGTATTGAGATCAAACCCAGGGCCTTGTACATGCAGGCAAGTGCTCTATCATGGAATGACATCCCCAGCCCAACAATAATATTATTTTAAAGTTACACTTGTTCACTTATGGTGACTGACTCACCTTGTAATCTAGATCTTCCCCGTCCCCAGAATTTTATGGCAAATCTAAGCAAAACAGTGTTTTTTAAATGCTGGAGATGCTTAAACTAAGTGAACAGTCAAATGGCTCTATTCTTTAGGTTGAAGAAAATACGCCCCTTACCTGTTCGTGTAGTCCCTCCTCCTGGGGGAGCCTTGGCAGCCATGTCGTCCCACCTCAGACTGGCCCACAGCAACCGTAACATCAGGCTCACTCCTGCTAGGGACTTGACAGTTTGAAGTCTATACCTGAAAGAACAACCCAAATAAAACTATACACATATATGTATGTAGGTGTGTATACACACACACACACACACACACACACGCAAAATCACTCTCATTTTCATTTTCTCTCTCTCAGAAACCAAGGGATTGTGTTTCTGATTTGCCTAACTTCACTATTTGTAATATGGTTTTGGCATTGTAGGTCCCTTAAAGAAAAACTTTTAATTTTTGGTAAACATGCACCTAACAACTTTAAAAGATTTATATTAATTTCAAATGCCATATAAATATGTAAAATGAGTGTGTTTCATTTTAAGGTTGATATGGTAATAATTTACGAAGATTTTATAAATTAATATAATTCAAAAATATGTTTTAAAAGTTATGAAGGAGAGAAAATACAGAAAAATATGCTGCTAAATGTGAGACAGGAGTTCTAAAGGATACAACCTCGCCTAATTTTTGCCGAAACCAGTTCTCAAAAAGCAGGGCCGGGGATTTAACTTAGTGGTTTCGCTGCCTGCTGTGCAAGCACAAGGACCCAAGTTTGATCCCCGGTACCAAAAAAAAGCAAAAAAAACCCTAAAAATATTTCCAAATAGGAAGAAAAAGCGTATACTGAAACAGTAGTTCTTCAAAACCATCTATCAACTCCTGGATGATAAATACTGAAAATATGAATAATATTTTAATAATGTTAGTGTTGTTTTAGGGTCCTACAATGAGTAAAAAAACAGTTACAAGAAAAAGGCAATGCTATATTAGTTACTAATCAGAAGAAAATGGGATCTCTGTGTTCATGTTTTTCCCTGAACATCATGTATAAAGTTATTATTTTTAGTAAAAATGCATTTTGAAATGAATTTACTCAACTGCAATGATTATGCCCTAAAAGTGGAATTCACCCTAGACATTTTAAAGCAGGCTCAGGCCGTCAATTCTTTATTGTTCTTTTGATAATTAAATACTTTGTTGCCATTTTCCCACCATGTAAATGAACATAATGGCTGACTGCAGTGTAGAGAAACCCAATAAAATGAAAATAATTTCCTCCACTAACAGCAGTAGACAGTAAATCTTAAAACAACTTTGCATTTGAAAGGCAAAGCTTTCTACTGTTAGCATTAAGTTGAAAAAAAAAAACAAACAAACATGAGAAAGGTAAAAAAGTTACTGCAGCTTCGTAACTTGCCATCTCTGCTTGTGACACCATTGTTTTCTTCAGTAGTCACTCTGTGAATCATCTGACCTGAACAGAGCAACCCTTAAATTAGCGGGAGGTATGTCTACTAGCACAGGGATGTCTTAAGAGGGGAAAGTGTCTGTCACTTTCAGATCACACCCTATAGAAATTCCTAGACTTTGGTCTCCTGGGAGAAAGCAAATAAACACAAGTATAAAGAAGAGCTCATTCTTAGTTCTCTCTTCTTTCTCCGCTGGCTCTCTATGGCCAGACAGCATCTCTGTATTTTAGGGTTGGTTTTTTGGGGGGTTTTTTGGTATTGGGGATCAAACTCGGGTTCTTACGTCTGCAAGGCAGGCAGCAGAACCACTAAGCTAAATCCCCAGACCAGCATCTCTGTATTTTAAAACAACAGGAGAGAAATACACTTCTTGGATTATCAGCCTGCTCATTCATTTATTCACTCAAAAAATAGCTGAGTACTTTCTATGTATTAAGACTGTGTGAAAGGAGCGAGGGACACAGGAGTGATTTAGAATCTGTTTTTGTGTTTTCAATTTGCAGTACAAGAGAAAATACAAGGGTGAGACATATGATGTGGAGATCAGAGAACTGCTAGAGTCTCAAAGGACAAGAAATGGGTGTGAGGGTGGCTGGCTGAAGGCAAAGGGCACACATACATTAAGAAGCAAAGTGTGCAAGAGCACACACTTCTTTCCAAACACCACATGAGGCGTGTGATGGCTGGAGGGGTGCACAGGTGCAGAAAGAGATAAAGCTGGCATGAAAGCAGAAGGGAGAAGCCAGAATGCCAAGGCAGACTGAAGGCACAAAGTAGAGAATTAAACACTTTATATTAAGGCCTCCAGTATCAGGTGGTCTGTAAAGGAAAATACTTCTCATAGATGTAATCTATAGGTGACAGATGCTTTCCCTCCCTCTCCCTACAGTAGTCAGCAAGTCCCTCAGCAAACTCAAAATACTCAAAAGGGACAGAATGGCATTTGAGGAGAATCATTCTGGCAGCACTGGGGATTACAACTACTAGTTCAAAAAAGCAGTAATAAAACAGGGACTGGGGAAAAGGGCATCAGGGAATGGATAGTGTGCAGGAAAAAGAGCCTCTACTGTATCTGTGAGGCAAGCTTCCTTTTTTCCCCATACTGCTTAGCCTTAACATTAAATTAAAATTATACACGCGTCTTTGGCATGCTTAGCTCCTACTCTAAGCAACAAACTTATCTGATACGTGTTAGTATAAAAATGCATTTCACATGCATGTTTTTTTAAAAAAATGCATTCTAAACACAAAAATAACTTACATATCTGTCCATACCTGCATTAGACAGAAAGGATGGTGTCTGACTCAACTTCAGCAAACTAAGATGTTAGAATATATTTGAAGGCAATTATCTTTCAAAAAATGTAAAGGAAGGTATTTCCTTCCATTAAAAATGAGAAATGAAACAGATATGAACTATGTCACAGTGCATATTAAAACATACAAGACTCCTGAAACCAGGCCATGCAGAGAAGGGCCCTGAGAACCATGTGATTATGACTGGTGGCTTTCTCCTCAAGAGTTCAGAGAAAAGTGCTTCCCAGTTGAGCCTAGTCTACGTCAGAATAGAAAAGAGCAGAAAGGCCAGCCTCCGCAACTGCCAAGTCATTTTAATTAAAATATTTGTACACAGTAACTTTTCCAGTGGGAAAGAAGTTACCTGCAGGACAGTCAAGGATACATTTTGGGACCGCTCTCAATGAAGAAAGCAGAAAAGTGCAGAGCAATCCTACAAATCCATGAACTGTAATGAAGAGTTCCTTGATTCCCTGCAGGATTCTGCAAATCCTTCACTGCAGGCCCTGCAGAGAAATTGTACTTTTCAGCTGTCTCTATTGAATGTGTAATGGAGTGATGATATTTTATTTCAAATCAAAAGATGAATTATTAAAAACTTGGGTCATACAACTACTATTGGTTGCATTACTAAATAAATTCCCTTAATAGAGAGTACTTACATTCACTTTTGGTCTTTTCTGATACTAGCTGATCATAATATTAAAGACACAAAGAAAGTGTGACTTTAACTTAAGCTAGAAACATATTAAAAGACACAGAAATGTAGTCTTAAGTGAATTCTGCTCAGTAACTTGCTGAAATTATTTCAGGAATCTAGCAAAATCTAACTGCCACTAAGATTGATTCTGATTTCCAAGCATGTTCCCCAACTCATGTTTTCAATTTTTATGTTCCATTCTTTTCCGTTATAAGAGTAAAGAGAGAGAGAGTCAAAGACATGAAAAAGGAAAAAAGCAGTAACAAATATGTGAAATGTGATACTGCAGATAAAGTACTAGGCTGGGATTTAGAAAAACCAGGCAGTATTTCTAATTGTTCCTCTGTAGTCAAAAGGCAATAATATTTAAAAATCTCTAAGTTCCCTTCCCAACATAAAACTATAATAATTTTATAACTGTCCGAACTATATACTTATGATTTACCCCCAAAACTAGAAATTTTAAAATCAGAACTACTTTGAGATTTCAAGAAATTCCTAAGGAATCTTAAGAGTTTACCTTTTCTTGCATAAATAATAAGGAGATCCAAAATACGTATTTATAATGCAAATAAATTACATTAGGAAGATTTCCAGATTATGATGAACTTTATGAAATTTATAGGCATGTTTTCTCATGTTTTTATGAATTATTTAATAGAAATAAATACAAACATTTCAGAAAGTTGGTGTTTATAGAATTCTGCAGTTAGCTTGTTCCCAACGCAAGTAACTTGGAAAGTTAGATCACAAAATAACCAGATTTGACATATTCCTTTCATCTTGTGAAAGTTTACATTGAAATTCACTTTAAAGGATTCCTTTACATTTTAACTTTTTAAATATTTTTCACTAAGTAAACTGTATTACTAGCTGGCCAAGTTGGAGACTTTCTGTATCTTATGTTACTAACTTTGGCTATTAAAGATATCCTTCCCTGTCTTAATCTGTTATTTCATTGTAAGAAAAATGAAATTTTAAAAAAATGAGATAATTCTTTTCTAAAACTTTCTGGCTCCCCCACATGCATTTTAAAGTACATACCTCCAAGTGATACCAAAGGTGGGTCTGGGAGAAGGATAGGGCCAAATATCCAAGGCAGGTTTTGCATTATAATTAAAATAAGGGACTTCTCGGATTCCTCCTTTTCTGGCCAACTTTTTCAAGTCATCATTAGGCAAAACAAATATGCTCTTCTTGCTGCTCTTGGTAATAAACTTTCTATAAGATGGCAGAGCTGTACCTGAACGAGTCTTCTTCGGTCTTGAAAATTTCATCAGTTTTACTTTGTCTCTTGTAGAGTACTCCTTGCTCACAGTCATGGATGCTACCAGTGTGCCTCCTGCAGTGGTGAGTGAGTCTGTCACTGTGGTGGTGACCACGGTTTTGCTCTGCTCTTTTACAGAGATGATGTCGACACTGCTGTCTGTGGAGGGTGTGGACAGCTTTGTTACCGTTGTGGTGGTGGTTGTGACAGTGGATTTGGCACAATTTTCTGTGGATGAGACCATAGTTTGCTTATCACCTTTTGCAACCTTGATCACGGTTTTTGATTCTGTGGCTACTGTAGATGTCATCGTGGTGACTTCTGTGATGACTGTTTTTCTTTTAGATTCTCCATTGATGTTTTCACCTTTGTTGGTGGGAAGACTATTTTCATCAACAAAATCACTACTGAGGTTAGATTCTTCTCCAGATGTAACAGGTGATAGTGTATCTTTCTTAACTTCTAAAGTTTCAATTTCCATATCTTCTACCTGATTAAATGAATTGCTTTCTGGACAAGATGATAGAGGTGTGGTACGCTGTACACTGTCAGGCTCTTTGGTTGATGGCAGGGTCTTGAGGCTGGCTTGGTAATTACCTTTGGCATCTGAAGAACTTAGTAAATGTGAATGTGTTACTGAAATGTTTTTTTCATTAAAATCTTCCATGATGACATCACCATTAATAAATGGCTTTACTGCAGATTCTTTAACAGTCAATGACTTAATATCATTCTCAGGGATTATTTTATTTATATTATTAACTTTTGGTTCAACATTACCACTGACTACTTTACTTTCAGAGATTTCTTTCAAACATTCACTTTTCAAATATACTTTAGGTTTATTATCTTTTCCATTTATTTGAAATGTGCTTGCCTTCTGTCCTTTCTTTTCAGATCTATTTTCATTATTCTTTTTGTCAGTGATATTTTTAAGACTTACTTGATCAATACATTTATTAACAGGTCTCTCTAACTTTTGCGGTTGACTTAGTTTTCTGCCATTTGTTTCCATTACCATATCCTGTAACCTGTTATCACAGTTTCTAATAGACTTATCAGAAACAAACTCACATTTCAATGGCTCCAAGCTTTCAACACCTTGTTCTGGAGTTAGGAACTGTTCAGAAATACTTTCATTGCTATTTTGAACAATCATATCTTCTTCACTGCTATCCTGAATAGACATAGTGTCAGAACTATTTTCTAAAGTGCTATTATATTCAGAGTCACATCCTAGTTTTCCATCAAATTCCATTCCTTTTGACAGAGATGCAGTATCTCTGTCCCCGGTACTTTTAGGTGTTGATGGAAGAAAAGCATTTTCAGAAGAAACAATAGTGTCATTATCCTCCTGGTTGAGTGGTTTTTTATTCTTATAGATCAAAGTGCCAATATCATCTCCACCAACTGGTTTAGAGTCATCAATGAAGAAATCACTTCTGTCTGTTTTTATCTTACTGAGTTCCTGGCCTTTACTGGTTCGTTCAGAGAGGCTTTCATCTATGTCATTTTCAATGGAATTTCGTTTCTGATTGTTTGTCCCTGGACTTTGAATGGAGATATCATCTAACACTTGATCTTTTGCATAATGTTTGTTTGCGATAAGACTAGGATCACCAGTTTCAAGAACTGAGGGATCACTTTGTGAACATCTGTGAATCAAGTCCTCAGATTTGTCATTACTTGCACTGAAGCTTTGTTCTTGTATAAGCAAGTCACTTTGATGCTCTTCTTTTGCTTTTGTTACTACTGGTGACTCAGAGAGACTTTTCAAAGAACTCGGAGAAGACTTTCCTGTACTCTTAATTCCACCCTCCAACTTCATTTTTTCATGGCGTTGTTTTTCTTCCAGTGTAAACTGTTTAATTCTCCTTTCAAGAAGTCCATCTAATTTGGATGATTTTATTTTCTTTTTGTAACTAGTCCTTAGATGAAAACCCTCACTGACATTGACCACATCTACTTGAGAACTTTCCTGATAATTTATATGTGACTCTGTTTTTATATCATCTATTTCCATTGGTTCCTCCTTGAAGGATTTATCATTGTCAGAATCTAAATGTTCTTTTACATCTGTAAAATAAAGACATTTATATAAATGTAATTTTTAGTCTGAGAAGAGGAATTCATGAGCGTATTTGTAAAAGTACTTTTCTTATTTCACACTAAAAAGGAATATCTATATATTTCAAAATTCCTGATACAATTACAATAGGTCATGAACATATTTAAACTTCATGAAAGGTTTAAAAACATATATATTCCAAATATGTAAGTATTCTAGCTAGGTGTGGTGGTGGATCCCTGCAATCTCAGCAGTTGGGGGCCTGAGACAGAAGGATTGCTGCAAATCGAAGGCCAGCCTAGGCTATATAGTGTGTTCAAGGCCAGGCTAGAAAAGTGAGACCCTGTCTTTAAAAAAAAAAGATTCTGATTCATAGTATCTAAACATAATGGAATGCTGTAATGAAAAATTTAGTATATGAGGTGTATGTACAACAGTGTTTTTAGGTTATAAAATATCATTAGCCATATATATTCAGAGTTTTTTAAAAAATGACTTTTGACAAAAGGCAATATAAAATTCTCAAAAAGTTAACCATGTGGCTGGGGATTTAGCTCAGTGGTTTCGCCGCCTGCTATGCAAGCGCAAAGACCTGAGTTCGATCCCCAGTACCAAAAAAAAAAGAAAGAAAGTTAACCATGAAGTTACCATGTGATCTAGTAATTTTATTACTAGGTATATTTCTGAGAAGTGAAAACATATGTCTATAAAAAAACCTGTACATAGGGTCAGGGGTTTGGCTCAGTGGTTCCGCCGCCTGTCTTGCAAGCACAGGGTCCTGAGTCTGATGCCCAGTACCAAAAAAAAAAGCCCCTAGTTCAAACCCCGATATGAAAAAATAATTAAAAATTAAAAAAAATTTTTAAAAAACCAGAACTTGTACATGAATATGGTAGCATTATTCACAATAGCTAAAAGGTAAAAACAGTCCAAATGTTTGTCAACCAATGATTGGATAAATAAAATGTAGCATATCAATACAATGGAATATTGGGTATACAAAGGGATAAAGCATCGATAAATGGTATAATACGGATGAATCTTGAAAAGATTATGCTGAGTGAAAGAGACTGGTCACAAAGGATAAGTTATTGCTTAATTTCATTTAATGTGATGTCCAAAATAGGCAAATCCAGAGCTGGAGAGGGTGGAGCAGACCTGCAGTTTTAGCACTTGGGCACCTGCAGAAGGAGGATCGCTCAAAGTTTTGAGGCTAGCCTGGGCTATATAGTGAGTTCAAGGCCAGACTATACTACATAGCAAGACCCTGTCTCAAAACAAAACAAAGTACTCTCTCCCTACCACCGCCGCTTGGGTGTGTTCGATTCTGCTTCACCCATAACGCGCCCATGGCCTGAGGAAGGCATTGCTGCTGGAGGTGTAATGGATGCCAATACTGCTTTAGAAGAGGTGCTAAAGGCCACCCTCACTCACAATGGTCTAGCATGTAGAATTCCTGAAGCTGCCAAAGTCATCTTTTTGTGCTTATATCCAATTGTGACAAGGCTAGTAGAGGCCCTTTGTGCTAAGCACCAAATCAACCTAATTAAGGTTGATGACAACAAGAACTAGGGGAAGGTAGGCCTCTGTAAAAGTGACCAAGAGGAAAAAACCCATAAAGTAGTTGGTCCTAGTTGTGCGGTGGTTAAGAACTATAGCAAAGGGTCGGGGATTTAGCTCAGTGGTTCTGACGCTTGCCTCAAAAGCACAAGGACCCGAGTTCGATCCCCAGTACCAAAAAAAAGAACTATGGCAAAGAAACTCAGGTCAGTGATGTTATCAAAGAATACTCAAACTAGAGGAGCAGGGATTTAGCTCAGTGGTTTCGCTGCCTGCTGCGCAAGCGCAAGGACCCGAGTTCAATCCCCGGTACAAAAAGAAAAAAAAAAGAATACTCAAACCCAAGAGATGAATGAATAAAAATTTTGGCTCCAAAACACCCCACCCCAAAACAAAACAAAATAACAAGAACAAAATACGAACAAAGGCAAATCTATACAGAGAACAGACTGGTAGGCAGGAAGGATTGAAAAGTGACTGCTAATGAGTATAAGAAATACAAGATTTCTTTTTGGGATGAAGAATATGTTCTAGAATTGATTTTGATAATGGCTGAACTACTCTGAATAAAATGAAACCACTAATTACACTATAATTGGGTGAACTATATGATATATGAATTATATTTTGAGTAAAATGTTATCAAATAAGAGTCAATCTAGTGCCTGTCCTGCGGTGGGCAACTGCCCCAGAGTGTTCTTATCGTACCCAGGCTGGCCTCCTCAGTCAATGCTCCTTACCTTGGTCCTTCTCAGTCATCTCTGAGGTCTCCATTTCACTCTGGTCTGCTTCTTTTCCAGGATCTGAATCTTTTACATCACCTTTCTCAGAATCAGGCTCTGTTTTAAATTTTTTAGGACTTCGTGGACTTTTTCTTTTATCCAAATCATCCATATTTTCATCCACATTATTTGTGACTAAAAAGAATCATGTATATGGCAATTAGATATTTCCAATATTAGAAATTTACTTTAATATATTTTTAGTGGAAATGATCAAGTATCTTCCAGTAAGCAATATTTTATTTTTCATTTAAACAAAAGCTGAAGGTACGATATACTTTCTTATATTCAAATTGCTCAATTAGTTTTATAGGCCAGGGGCAGCCCCCTCTATAAGCTATAAGAACTTTAATACCAAATGGACAACTATAAATTTTCTTCCCCCAAATTAAAGGTCTTTCTGAGCTGGGAGTTTAGCTCAATGGTAGAGAGCCTGTCTGATAATCCACAAAGCTCAGGGTGCAATTCCCAGCAACCCCCCCCCCCAAAAGGAAGCTCTTCTTGACATAAAAAATACATATATTTTATTGAATACTACATCATACTGTGGAACAAAAATGTCCAGTTCTAGAGCTACACCAGAAGTCAGAGATAAGGAGACAAACAAGTCTAACAGCCTGGCCTTGTGACAGCAAATCAAGACTTGTTTTCTGATCTGTATTTCTCTGGTTTTCAGCACATCTGTGCCTCCATCACCTCCATCACAAGATCCGACTAGGTTAGTGGTGAGAGTAAGTTAGTCATTATCATAGTGACCAGCAGCTTTGACATTAATTGTTTGTTACTGCTACCTTCACTGTGATTCCTATTTTGTAGTTAGAGAAGCCCAGAGCCCTAGACAGTGTGCACAGCTGTTTTATTCAGACACTATCTGGGAGGAAAGTCTCAAAAATACCAACTTAGTACCTGAATAGATAAAGAAAGGCCCAGAACAAGAGAAAATCTAGGGCTGGGGATTTAGCTCAGTGGTTCCACTGCCTGCCTTGCAAGCGCAAGGTCCTGAGTTCCATTTCCGAGTTCGATCCCCGGTACCAAAAAACAATAACAACAACAACAGAAAACCTTATGCTAAAGCCAATGGCTGTAAAATAAATCTGCAGAAACTAATCTGTATATTGATTATCTGGATTTTATATCACATAGCTCAGACCAGGTTATATACAAATAAAGAGCTCTCTATAAATGTAAGTGCTACATGAGTAACTGGAACAACAAAATGGTAATAAAAGAAACATCATGTGTTGGAATTTACTATAGTTGATACTTAACATGAATTAAATAGCAACTGAATCTTCAAAATTGCTATTTCTAAAATAGAAATGTAACAATTACTGTGTCTAACATGCTCCAAGACAGGATCCTATAAATTCCAGAGAGCCTTATAAAATGTGTTTCACCTTTGTAGAGATAAACGAATAACTTTCCTACAGTAACAACTTCACAAATCTACCATGTTTCACCAGAACCATTCACAAAGCTAAATCAGTTACTAAAGGAGTACATAACATTTCTCATGCACTATGTAATCTCCTCACTCAAGTTTCATCAGAAAAAACACATCACAGCATAAATTAGCAAATTACATTATATAGCATAGACGCCTGCTGCTAAAAATCACTTGGATAACAAATACCACATGGCAGACAGCAAAAGGGGCTCAGAAGCTAGGGCAGAAGGGTTCTATCATTTTTCATCTGCGTGAACTTCAGTATCACTTACCAGCTTCATAAAGTAATCTGCTCATTTAACGGGAATTTAAAAAGACACTGTCTCTCAAAAGGGCAATTCACCTCTAGAACTCTGAGATTCTAAATACTAAAGTTTGTTAGCAACAGTAAAAACTGAATAAACAGCTGCTTTAAGTGACAATGGTATGTAAGCCCCTATCACCTCCCCTCCGGATCTGGCGTGGACAATAATGTCAATGTTTCCAACTGTGACTCCTCAAGAAGTTAACAAGTATGGAATTTAAAATTCTGAAAAACAATACTGTAATTAGGTGGCTGAGGGATTTTTAAAAAAGCTCTTTTCAGTCATCTTTTTTTTGGTAGCGGGGATCGAACTTGGGTCCTTGTGCTTGCGAGCCAGGAAGCAGAACCACTGAGCTAAATCCCCAGCCCCTTTTCAATCATCTTTAACTGAATTGTAGGCATCCAAATCTTGTGAACAAACGTAATTTTTTATATTTCAGTTTATAATTGGTAAACAATAGTAATTTTGCACCCTGTACTAAAAATGTAGAAAAAAGTTTTTAGCCAAAATATGGCCAATATACTAGGAATTTATAAGAAAATATAAATCAGAAATAGTTATATAGAAAAAATTATTGCTAAAAATGGTATTTTAAATTAAATATAACTACTAAAATAAGTCACTTACTTCCTTCTGCTGACTTTCTGTAATTCACATTAGTATTGCCTGGCAATTTAGGAACAAACCTATAAACATGAGTTTTACTAATCCAGCTCCAGCCACCATATCCTGTTACTCTGTACTCCTCTCCTTTTTGTTTCCAAACCTGGGATAAAGAAAAATAAACTTATTAAACAACATGTTTATAAAGCATGTGTGGTATTACACATGTTTATCAAACACGAATAATAGGCAGGAAATTACTACTTTCTAAATGTGAAATTATAGTTTTATTTTTATAACAACTTCAAAAAATTGGTCCCAAACTCTCCTATATTACTAAGAGAAATCTGTCCTTCTAAAATCATCAGAAAGATGTATTTCATCCCAACTATATCAATTCAAAGGTTATATCAAAAGTAAAACAAAATTATAAAGTGTCAAAATGGTAGAAGTCTCAGAAACAGATAATACTTTTTAAAAGATTATGGAAAAAATTACCTGATGTTTAACTGGAAATGTATATTTTACCCATGTGGCTTGCTGCATTGTTTCTTCTTCTTCTTGTTTTTTCTCTTTTTTTTTTACCTTCTCTTTTTCTTCTCTTTCAATTGATGTCATTCTATGTAATCTATAAATGGAGAACAAAACAGAAATTTAACACTGAATAATGAACAAAAAAGATAAAATGTAATATTGAAAATTAGACACAAAACCAGAGTGGCTGGTTATAATCCCACAACCCAGACAATCCCAACTGACAATAAGCAGATGTACAGTTCCACAACAGGAACAGAGAGTATAATACAGCAAAAATAAAAAATGCTATCCTATCCATATGTCTCCCCAAAAGAAATACTTGTATTTCATTCCTGCAACATTTCACATATATGTATTTATAGTCCATTACCCACTTCCACAAAGGGTACTGATAGTATACGTAGAAGCAGTTTATAACTGTAGTAGGAGATCTTTCCATATCAGAATACCAAGATTTTGTTAAAAAATATAAGAAATACACCACTTCATGGGCAGCCTATAATTTATTGGACCAGTTCCCTACTAAAGGATACTTTATTTCCAGAATTTTTTCCTTACCACAAAGACCAACAGATCCAAAAGCTTTTGCTTTTATTTCTGAGCCTTTCTCATTAGCACTGGAGATTTTAAAGCCCTCACTGGGTTCACTAACAGAATTCTGGCTTTCAACATCCACAGAAAAAGGAGTCCAAGAGTCCTTTTGGTTAAGAGGAGGGGGTCAGGAAAGAAGTTCTACAGTTACTTCAATCACTAGAGATAAGGAATAGGCCACACTCTACTATCAGGCAGGAAAACAGGTACCAGAGCATCTATCAGTAATGGGCAGGCCTGTGGTGGGGAATGAACATTTAGCTGAGACTATATTTTTTATGAATAGGAGTATTTCCAAACAAAGATATGAACCAAAACCCATAAACAGGAGCTCCTCTCTAAAAGCTTCTACCTCTAAGAGCAGAAGTAAAAGAACTGCTTTTATCCCACCCAAAGCAGATGGACTCAATTTTTCATGCAGAGATATATAGAAACAAGGGAGATCTTTTGTCACCTTGGGGGAGTGGTGCTAGAAAGATGTGAGAGAAATTTAATTCTTTTTATCTCTAATTCCCAGTAAAAACTCTCTGTCACACTTGCTCCCCCTTTCTCCTCTTTTATGGTTTTGTGTACCTATGATTACAGGACCTTAGTTTACAGCCTCCTCCAGGTAAAGAGTTCATATCTATTAATTGTTTACAACTTGTACAGCAAACTTCTCTACAAGGTTCCTGGAGTTCTCAGAAATTGATGGGAAGAGGAAAAGCGGGATGGATTCTCACTGGGAACTAACTTACTAGTTCAAATCCCAGCCATGCACCAACACTCCTGGAGCTAGAGAGTGAAGCAAGCTCCAGAGCACAGCAGTGTCTCTCATAAGGAGTGACACTACACGACCAAACAGTAGTTCTCAGGGATTTGAGGGCATGACCCCTGAAGGCCTGGTCCACCACAGTAACAGAACCACCTTTGCTGACATAGGCCAGGAACACAATGACACTGTGGGAGCTCACAGCTCAGAAGCAGGCTCAGTTTGGCTTCTTGGTGTCTGCCCACAAGGTAAAGAGGCCCTTTCTCAATGCCAAATACAAAGGCTCGCTTTGCTTAGGCTTCCAGGCCAGTGAAGTGGTGTTATAACAGAGTACAATTCTATTAATTCCACTGCCACTAAGACAATCCTTATAGGGGGACAGGATTGCCAACACAGGGGAACTTAGCAGTTCAGTTCTGTTTTTATGGACAGAAATCTCTAATGTCACTGCTGGTAGCCTCGATGTCCCAGGAAGGAAGCCCCATGAGGATGGTACTGTGCAGCCTCTGGCTAGGTGGCAGATTTCCCCTCCTCATATCCATGGTCACTGAGAGGTGGACCAGGCATATGGGCTGGGCATCATCTCCTAACTTCCATGCACTGCTCAGGATTCTGTTGTGTGCTGCTTTTATATTAAAGATACAATACATAACATTTTATGTCTTCCATGATAAACTTGTGGAGTATCCCTCTATGTTCCTCAGTGACAGGATGGCTGAGACCAGAAGTTCTTGCACTTAACATGCTGACAGATAGTGCCATACTGTTCTTCTGAATTGGGGACTTCACAATACCATCAACTGCAAAGCCAACTTGTTAAATTAGTATCAAACTTCCAAACTGTTAGGCCAACTGTGGTATAAAACAAATTATCATCCTATTGTTCTTTAATTATGAGAGAAATTTTTTATGTTTACTGGCCTGTCACATTTATTTTTCTGCACAATATCTGTTCAAATCCTTTGTCTTGTTTGAACTGGACTATTAGTCTTTTTCATTAATACAAGATCTCTGTCAGTTAGGGAAAATTTCCATTTGTGGTGCAAATATTTTTCCTCAGTTTGGCATCTGTCTTTTGAGATTATAACATTTTTCCACTTAGAACTTTAAATACATGTATCCACTTTTCTCCTCTATGACATCTGGTTTTAAATCTGTTTAAAAAGAAAGTATCACAATAAAAATATAAATTAATTCATGTTTTCTTATTGTAGTTTTGTTTTTAGGATGTGGTTCTTTTTTTTTTAAATCTACCTTGGTATGAATGCTTTAGTCAAGTAGGGATCTAAGAGCTATCTTCTCCAAACATGGTCTTTTGCTTTCGGACAGGCAATATTACCACACCCATATTCCCAGATGTGTTTAAAAAGAAAGTATCACAATAAAAATATAAATTAATTCATGTTTTCTTATTGTAGTTTTGTTTTTAGGATGTGGTTCTTTTTTTTTTAAATCTACCTTGGTATGAATGCTTTAGTAAAGTAGGGATCTAAGAGCTATCTTCTCCAAACATGGTCTTTTGCTTTCGGACAGGCAATATTACCACACCCATATTCCCAGATGTGTTTTGGTGTATTTCTGGATTCCCTATTCTATTTCATTGCCCCATTTCTTCAGTAGGACAAACTATTTTGACCACTATAGGTTCAAAATATAATCTAATACCTACTCTGAACATCTACTTCCTTTTGTGGCTATTCTTGCACATTAACTTTTCTAGATGAAATATTATCATCACTTTGGTCAAGCCTCCCACAGTCCCAGAAGAACAAATCCTATTCACCAGGCAAAGTATCCTTTATGTCTGTAAAGACTGCTTTACACGGGTTCTGAGTATTTCTTAAATTTATTCCCAGGTGTTTGAGGGTTTTGTAGTCGCTATTTTTGGAGTCTTTTCTTTCATTATAATATTTATTCAAATATAACATACAACAAAGTTAAGAAATTGAACTTTACCAATAACCATCACACTAGAAGTTTCTGTGTCCCACCCTGGGGCAATTATTACTCTAACATTTGAAGTCATCATTCCCTTGCTTTTGCTTACAGTTTTATTACCTATGTGTGTTCCAAATAATAAAAAGTTTGACTTCTGAAAACTTAGGTGGAAGCACAAAATCAGTTGCAGGAGCCAAAGAGCAATAATGTTACTATTAAAAGTATTCTAGGAAAACATAAACTTAAATCTCAGGTCAGAGTATGACTATAGCTTTCAAGAAATAAGTCTCTTTGGGTGAGTCAGTGGGCGACTACTGGCAAGCCCAGGAATATAGAGGACACCTCACAACCAGGGTATATGGCAGATTGCAGGGCAAAACAGGTCCCCTACAAAGACATGAGTCAAAGTGAACTGCTCTGGACTTCCTGCTTTTATGCCTTGTGAGAGTTCTGTGGTATAACGTAGGAACATGGGTACATTCTCACTGAGATTTGGCTTTTTGGAGTAGGTTACCATTTGTCCACTTGTATCACAGCTTCCACAATTTTACTGTTTCTTCTTCCCAGCCCCTGTGGGTTTACAACTTTAAAGAATACCTTGAGGGTATGGATATATGGCTAAGTGGTAGAGCACTTACTAGCACACATTAGGTAAACCCTGGGTTCAATCCCAGCACAGAGAAGGAAAAAAATCCCTTTGCTATAGGAGGTCACTAGGGAACAAAATTAAATTAATTAAAATTAATTTGGTATTTTAACTTAGGATTCCATCTGCATTTTAATCATGGTTATTGCTTGTATATATGAATGTTCAGTGTGCTACCCACCTTATTTAATTTTCATATTGTTTCTGATATTTTTCAGTTTAGGGGGAGTCCTAAGAACATAATTACATCAAATACATAATAATAACCATGCCTATATCTTGCCAATATTTGTATGTTTTATTTCTCTTGGCAAACCGACTTGGTTGGTATTTTCAGGAAAGTGGTGACAATGGGCATCCTTGTTTTGTTCCAACCCAGTGTTAATGGAAATGCTTCAGGCAGTTGAGTCCAGGCCATAATGATTTGGTCTAAAATACATCTTTACAAAAAAACAAAAAAACCCAAACAAATTTTTAAAAAAGGACTTCATATATTCCTATTTAACTTTTTTTTTTTTTAAATCAAGAATAATGAACTTTGACAAGTATCTTTATGGCATCTAATAGATGATCAAAGTTCTCTTTGACTTTTTTTTTTGTCCATTTTATTATTTTTTCTTTTTTGTTTTGGTACCGGGGATTTAACTCTGGACCTTGTTTTCAAGGCAGGTGGCAGCACCACTGAGCTAAATCCCTGGTTTTATTTGACTTCTTAAAATATCATGTTATTAAAAATCTCCTAAAATTGGACAAATCTTCTATGCCTAGGGTGGAGCTGATTTAGCAATGGCTTACTACTCTTAATTTGTTCCTGAATAAATTTGCTAAAGTTTCAGTTAAGATTCCTTATATATACATCCATTTGCTCCATATTATTAATCAATAAATATGGGAGACAGGGATGATAATTTTCTTTTTGCTTATTTTTATTGTTTCATGCTAACAGAAATAATAATCTGCAAGATTTCCTTCTTTTTCTATTTTAGTGAAAGAGTTTAAACAGAATTGTCTGGTTCCTGAAATGTAAAGGACTTACTTATAAAACCATCTGGTTCTCCCCATCTCCCTTAGTGATTTACACAGAATCAGAAATCCTTCTGCCTTTATGACCTATGCCCTGCTGTCTAATGCCCCAGATCTGTAGCCTCTTCCTTCCAGCCTTCACTGAAAGGGCCTGAAGGGTCACTCTCTCCTTGGACACAGGAAACCTGAATACTGTATTCCTGTGAAGGCTTAAAATCCCTAGTGCTGCTAGCAAGAGAATCAGAAAAACTGGTTAGTAGGCCCCTTTATTTATTCTTGTTATTATCTGTGTTTTCCTGAGCTTTTTTTTCTTGATAATCTTATACATTTGTAAGTTATAATAAGGTATATTTAGTTTTTGGTTTCATTATCTTTACTTTTATATTCAACATTTCTTTTCGCTGACTCTTTGTATACATAGCTAACTAATTTGCAGTTTTTATTTTCTAACACAGACAGTGAAGGCTATCAATTTTTCCACCTGCAGCCTATAAATTTCAGTATCTATAATGCTTTCATGAACATTCAGATCAAAATATCTTTTTAGCTTCCATTTTGATTTTTCTGTGATCATTTTTTACTTGTGTATTTAAGTTTCAAGCATACCACTTTTGAATTTCTTTTAATATTTACTGTAAATGTGTATATCCCTAGACAATATTATCATACATATGTTAAAACTTTACACAAATATACTACATGTATTTTAGTGATGGAATTATTTTCACTTTCTTTTACATTTATGAGATTTAAAATGCTGAAATTATTGTTTTAGTTTGTTTTCTTACTGCCATATTGTAGTCTATCAGAGGATGATATCACTGTTTAAATGTGCTCCATTATAAACATTTGGGGATTGTTTTTAAATTTCATGATTAAAATAATATGATAAGGGGTCAGGGATTTAGCTCAGTGGTTCTGGCACCTGTCTCGAAAGCACAAGATTCTGAGTTTGATCCCCAGTACCAAAAAATAAAATAAAATAAAATAATATGATAAGAAACAATCTGACATGCATGGTGGTACATGCCTGTAATTCCAGCACTTGGGAGGCTGGGACAGGAGGATTGCCACGAGTTCAAGGCTAATCTGGGCTACACACTGGTAGTTAGTTCAAGGCCAGCCTGAACTACATAGGGAGACCCTGTCTCCAAAAAACAACTATCTTCTACATGTTTCCTTATGCACAATATATATATGTAAGAGTTACTTTATGATAGTAGATAGAAGAATTGCATTTTTAACTTATCAATAAAACAGTTCTCTCAAAGGATTATAGTAATTATTACATTATTAATCTTTTATCAAAAGTATATTAAGAGTTCTCTTCCTATGACTGCACATTTTTGTCAATCTTGATGGATGTGCAACAGCAGCCCCTAATTTCAATGTGTATTTCCCAAAATACCAGGGAGGTTAAGCCATCTTCACTTTTCTCGATAATTTTCATCTTTTTGTGAGTGAATTATATTTACTATCTTTGGCCTTTTTTCTGATTAAATGGCTTGATGTTTTTTGTCTTACTGAATTGTAATAGTTCTGGAATATATTGTGAACATTACCTTTTTAATTAAGTATAACAAAACAATAAATATACCTTCAACCAGTCCATGCCATAAGTCTTTTAGAATAATATATTATCATAAGGTTTAAAACCAACAGAAAACAATTCACTGTGTACTGATACACACATGTGATAAAACTACATAGTAAAAGGAAGCATATAATAAAACACAAACCTTAAAACTGTAATTATCTCTCAGGAGAGGCAAGGTAATGAGTGAAAAGCTGATGCAATCACAATGTCCTTATTTTTAAGTTAGGTGGTAAATTCACAGGCATTTGGTTTTATTATTGTCCATTAGAGATTATAGATATTACGTAAAATCTTATATATGCATCATTTCCTAAACAAAAAATTTTCCCTATATAGGCCATAATTTAAAAAATATTGTTACTGTAAGATATATAGACTGGACAGCTCTTGAAGCTTTGTTAATCACAATTTAAACATTTCCATGAATAAAAAGTTAAAATTTCTATGTATCCTTAGGATCATGTCTTAGAAATTTATTGCCTATCTAGTTGACCATACTACTTCAGAAGTGCAAGTCTTATTATTAATTCCTAATTTTCCTGAATCATGGTCCTCAATTTTTTTTTTTAAGTGAGGATAGAACCCAGGACCTTGCACTTGCCAGGCAGGCACAGTGCCACTGAGCTAAATCCCTAGCCTGATGGTCCTCAGTTTTTTTTAAAAAGCCAGTGTTATACTTCATCATCTTATTTTAAAAGATGTCTTTTGTATAAATTACCAGATGTCACACTAATAAAATTCACAACATAATTTTATAAATAGAAGGAACATGTTAAAACTAATCATAATGACAAAAGCAGGAAAGAAAAACATCTGGATATTTAAAAATCTAAATTCCATTGTCTGCTACAATGATTAATACTTGAAATCAATGAGATGTATGATCTAATAATTTTAAGTTACATTTAATTATGGGAGTTTGGTTTATTTTGTTATTATTGGGGTTTTTTGTTTTGTTTTTTGGCAGTCCTGGGGATTGAACCTAGGCCCTTCACACTAAGGTACATCTCTACTTTCTTTTATGTTTTGATATGGGGTTTTGCTAAGTCACTATGTTGCCCAGGCTGGGCTTGAACTTGGGATCCTCCTGCCTCGGCCTCCTAGAGTGTTGGGGATTACAGGGGTGCACCACCATACCAAGCTAATTATAGTTTTATTTGGCAACATTTGGCTAAGCTCCTATTTCTGAAACATTTGTCACCAGAGATGAGGCTGCATGTAAAGTGTCAGGATGAGCACAGACTAGAAGAACATTAGGACAGAATGTTTGGGGGCAAATCTGGAGGAAAATACCAGGAGCCAGAGAAACACAGGCAGGATCGTGTCTGACTCTCTCCTGACTCTGCCTTGATAAAAGTAACCACCCACTCAGCTCTTCTCTTCCGTGGTGCTCAGTTCTGTAGCACCTTGTTTAATCAAATTTTCAACTGTAGGATGATTAAGTTCACTCCATTTGGGGAGACCTCTACTGATAGCAATTATATTCAAAAGGGGAAGGAGAAAAGAATCGTTAAGATTTATGTGGGGAAATCACCAAAGAAAACTGGAAGCAGATTAAAAAAAAAATTTAGTGGGCATAAACTTACTTTTCTTTTTTTGTTTTTTTGAGGCAGGGTTTCAGGCTGTCCTTGAACTCACTATGTAGCCCAGGCTGGCCTCACACTTGCAGCAGTCCCCCTGTCTCAGCCTCCCAAGTGCTGGAATTACAGGCTTACATGCCACCACCGCACCTGAGTAAACTTATTTTTCTTAATAATGTTTTTGTTAGGGCCGGGGATTTAGCTCAGTGCTTCCGGCACCAGCCCTGCAAGTGCAAGGTCCCAAGTTCGATTCCCAGTAGCCCGCCCCAAATAATGTTTTTTTAATAAAAAAGATGTGAAAAGTAAGGCAAAATATATTTATTTTCTAAAAATTATAGGGTTATACCACTGGAGCAAACACTATAGAGGTTAAAGGAATGGTACAATGATTCTTTTTGCTTTCATACTCTTGGATAATATTTGCAATTTTTCACCATATCTGTGTATTAATTTTGTCATAATAACTTTTTTTTTGGTACTGGGGATCGAACTCAGGTCCTTGCACTTGCGAGGCAAGCGGCAGAACCACTGAGCTAAATCCCTGGCCCCCATCATAATAACTTTTAAAGGACTAAAAGTTACAAAATTTTTAAGTTACAAAATTTATCTTTGTTTTTTTGGGATCAAACTTGGGATCTCGTGGTTGCGAGGCAGGCGGTGGAACCACTGAGCTAAATCGCCAGCCCTCTTTTTTTTTTTTGTAATCATCTGCTCTGGTTACAGAGTTCTTGGTTTACTTGGGAGCTGCATCATTTTTGGCCAGGCATTCAAATCTAAAAAAGGGTGTAAGACCTTAAGGGTGATATTCAGCATAGTACCAGGAACATTCCAGAATATTCAAAAAACATGAGGGCTCTTTCTATTTCAATAAAAATGCCCTTTCATGTCTTCCTCTCTCCCTCCCTTCTTCCCACTACCGGGGGTTCAATTCAGACCCTAGTACATGATAGGCATACACTCTACCACTGACCTCCATACTGACCCTTTTTTATTTTAGACAAGGTTTCTCTATTTGCTCAGACTGGCCTCAAACTTGTGATCCTCCTGCCTGAACCTCCCAGGAACCTGGGATTACAGACAAGCACCACCACATCCAGATAAATATGCTTTTACACTTTAAAAGCTTTTATTTTCATATAACCAGCCTCTTTTGATCCTTATCATTCTGTATCACAAATATGAATAGAAACCAGGAAGAATGACGTCTTTAATATAACCTCTTAACTTTCATTATTTATCCTCTAGCATTTAAATAAAACCAAAAGGTTGGGGCCAGGGATTTAGCTCAGTGGTTCTGGATCCGAATTCGATCCCTGGTACCAAAAAACAAAAAAAAAGAAGGAAAATAAAAACAGTCCAATGTTGGTCATTCACAAGGCTCAGAATTCACTTACCTGGTATGTCCTAAGGATTCCCGCCATATTGGTAGCATCACAACTGGTTTAACTGCACACTCCAAAATAGCTAAAGCCAATGCAAATTCTCTGGGTTTGCTACACATCTGAACTGCCTTGATCCAATTTGCTCTGTATTTCAGAAGAAAAGAAATCATTTCATTTGGTTAATCTTAAATTAAAAGCATAATAGTTGTAATTTACAATGACTCTATCTTACAGTGCCTGTGAGAAATGTTTCTAGATTGCAGATATGACTATACTGCTCTTCGAAGTTTCTAGCTCACAGAGACACATTTTAAACACTGCAAGGCATTCTAGAGATCATTTAGGCGTCCCAATTCCTTCACCTTCTATGATTTTCTGGAACTTTAGTCTGTACTGGATTCCAGGGATTAAAAACTGATTTCCAAAACTCATTCAAATTCTACTGGTGGTTCAGTCATTTAGAAGCACATGTGTGCCTCTACCTTCATCACTGTTTGTTGGCCAAAGTGACTTCATTTAATTCATTGGTAATGACATTTAAAATGTAGGTGCCTGCCTACAATAATAGTTTTATAAGTATGTAGTATATTTATAGCAGTAAATTAACCTTAGTTTCTTTTACCTGTGTGAAGCCCAATTGGGATGAAGAAAAGATGAAGGGATGTTGTTTTCTAGTTGGGTGATGGTCAGTCTCAGAGTAGATATAGTAAGGACTTTAGACCCATGGACAGAACCATTCCATTTGAACTCTCCTGCTGGAGTCAAACAGAATTTATGTGCAAGATGCCTTCTCTTATCATGATCTTCCCTGTGTTGGTGCTTATTCAAAGCAAATGAATTGGTGGAGTACTGATTATGGTAGACACGATACTTCCCTTCTTGACCCAATTTAAAGTAATTGTTGATATTTCCTTTCATGACCACTTCCTTTTTGGTGCTCAATCGTGAAATTTCTCCTTGAGAGTTAACTACTAGTACCTGAATAAAAAAAAAAAAATAGAAGGATTTCATTATTTAGCCAAAGATGCAAATTGTCTGATCAATTGTCTTTCGATAATTATAATCTATATTCCAAATAAGTTAAAATACATCTTATGACTGAACTGTTTGAAATGCTAAGCTAAAATGAAAGCTGCTTACAATTAAACATCCAAGATATGCCTGCAAAAAGAAAGAAAACTAATATTTATTAAATATTATGTTAGATACTATTGAGTAATTTTTATTTTTTTCCAATGCTGGAGATCAAACTCAGGGCATTGAGTATACTAATAAGCATTTTACCACTGGGCTACAACTCCAAGCCCACTAATTTCTACTTTCCTGAATCTCAACTATACATATCAAAAGTATGTGTACTCTTTATTATTCACCTATCATTATATCAAGTTTATAACTCACTCTTTAGGGAAATGAGGAGGGATTGCATGTACTACCACTTAAAAATATTTTCCTAAAAATGCCTTTTCTGCTCCTATTTCATTCTAGCTTTAGTTCAAGAGCACATGGATACTTTAAAATGTCTTGAAAAGTTGATCCCAACCCTTTAGTGAATTATAAAATAAACTGCAACTCTTAATTAACTTTAAAAAAAATAAAATAGCCCGGTGTAGTGCACATGCCTGTAATCCCAGCACTCAAGAGGCTGAGGCAGGAGGATTGCCATGAATTCGAGGCCAGCCTGAACTGCATAGTAAAACCCTGTCTCAAACAAACAAAAAATAGACTAGGTAGACTATAAGAGAAAATATCAGAATACTTCTGATATAGTAAGGTATGTACTATTTCAGGAAGCTTTTGAATATGTGTACCAGCCTGCTATGAAAGAAATATCTATCTCCTTGACAGTTAGAGTCAAAAAGAAGTTTAAAAGCCAATGGTAAGCCAGGCAAAGTGAGGCACACCTGTTATCCCAGCACTTTGGTAAGAGGAGTGCAAATTCAAGTCCAGCCTGGACAACTTAGTGACTTAACAAGACCCAGTCTCAAAATAAAACATTATAAAGAAAAAAAAAGGGCCAGGGATGTAGTTTAGTGAACCAATGAAGGCACTGGTTCAATCCTCAGTACAGCAAAAAAGAAGCAAGCCAATGGCTTAAGCACCTTGTCTGATGCTAAGAAAAGAACACTGTATATTCTTATCTATCCTGCAAATAATTCATAACCTTGGAGGACACATTTTTGGCCGTTATTCTGTCACCACAGCTAGGTAAGGGACAGAGATAAGTGACTCCTAGATTTGATCCTCTAGTACATAATCGGAGCTGAGATCCTGTGCTGTCCTAGGCACTTTACTGTGCTATCAAGGGGTTACCCCTATCCTCTGCTGCAGGTTTACTGAGGCGATCATAGTAAACAATCTATAGCTCTTTATAAAAGCCCATGAATAACCCACTCGTTGCTATATGTGAAAAAGAAGTGTTTCTCTTTTTAGAATTATATACAATAAAACTGATCATGTTATATCACCCACTTACAGCATTTCTATGCAGGGACTGACATGTGGATATCCAATTATACATATAAACTGAGCAGTTTTTCTCATTACCCACCACAATCTTAGAGAAAAATACAATTTGAAAGTAGGTTTGGAAATTTCCTATCTTTATTTTAAAGGTATACTTACAATTATTCATATTCCAGGGATTTTTGTTTTAAACAGAAAAAAAATGTACCTCTTTGCCCTCCTTAAATAATTTATTTGCTTCATGGGCTGCAGCTGCTACTTGCTGGTTCTTCAGCTGACTAAGTTTGCTGTCTGGATTCCGTAATCTGGTGATAATTCGGGTTGAGCCAGATGCTCCTCTTCCAACTCCAAGAGAATCACTTATTTCCCCATTAGACTTCTCAGATCTGAAATCACCTATTATAAATGAAAGAGTCACAAAGTAATTGCTGACAGCAATGAAATAAGAACAATGGCTTATTTATCCAAAACGCCTATGTGGTGTACAACATCTAAGATCCAGAAAGCAAACAGGTAAGGTCCTTGAATAGCCAAAGCAAATGTCATTAATTCTTTACTGTTTTACTTAAAAGAAAACATATCATAACCTTATGTGAGTCATTATTTTACAAAAAAATACAAGTTCAAGGTTAAGACAGGAGGGGCTGCAACAAATTTAATAACTAACAAATATAATAACTCAATGTACACTAATAAAATGTTGCCTCATCTATTCAATATGGATTTCTGTATTAAAAGGATGTAATATTAGAAAGATTTATTCTGAAATTCTGTTTACGTACCTAATAGTTTCAACATTATACACATAAATGCTAAGTGAATTTTCCTCTAGAAAAGCTAGTATCTTTGTAAAGTTATTAATGTAAAAATCAACTAAGTTAGCTTTTTTAATATAGTAAAGATCTCTCAGTATTTTCATAGTAATTTAATTTTTTAAGGTGACTCAACACCCCAGGAGCACTTTCTGCTTTGTATATCCATGAATCTCACTTTGGCTGAAAATGTCTACATATACTAAAACTACGTCCAATTCCCATTGGCTAAACAAACTTTTAAAAAATTTATACAACATGGCATTGGTGTAAATAAAAGGACAAAGGATTTACTACATTATATATAGTAAAGATGGCTTTTTTTTTTTTGGTACCGGGGATTGAACTTGGGACCTTGCGCTTGCGAGGCAGGCGCCAGAACCACTGAGCTAAATCCCCGGCCCAAAGATGAAATTTG